ATTTTCAGGCTTGGCTAGGGAAGGGAAAAGATTGCTGCAAAGACAAAACTAACAGATAAATCACATCAAACCTTGCTTTTTTTTTTTTTTTACTTCCATACTTTGGTACTTGAATTGTTAAATATAAAAGTGAATGGACAGTGAAATAGCTGAGACACTTAAGCATCTCATCCGTAGGGAATATACAAACAGCATACTATTGTGAAATTATTAAAGTATATATTTTATATAAAAGGAGATGTGGCTGTCCTATCCCTGGAACTGTTCAAAGCTAGAGCCCAACAGGTACACAACCCCTGCTGGGGGTACACAACCAAAGCTGCTGGGTGGAGCTCTAAGCAATCTGGTCTAATACAAGGTGTCTCTAGAACTAGATGATCTTTAAGATCCCCTCCAACCCAAACCATTCTATGATTCTATTTTCTCTCCCATTAGCCACGTAAATGCAACTACCTGTTCTTTAGTCTATACAACCCTTGCACTCTTGCCACCATTCTCTGAGAACAGAAGAAGCTGATTTTGGATCTGTGCCTGTATGAGTACACACCTGCATATGTGTCAGAGCAGGAACCATACAACCAGATCAGCACCTGACAGCCAGCACAAATCCAAAGGGCAACAGTTGTCACAGCATATACCACAGTGTAGATGGCCACAATACACAAGAGCATCACCACACAATTTCAGAAGACTTTAAGCATTCACCCTGCAAGCATCTACCCTTCTTGTTCTTCAGCCCAACCTTTTATACCCCTCATTGTTAATGCAGTGCACCTGTGTGCCCTCTGTTCCCTTTGGTGGTTGGTCAGTGCCCCTGGGCACTCCATGGCTCATTGCTGTCAGTGCTGCTCACCTGCTTCTTACAGCTGTAGCCCACTGGGGATGAGGCTCAGCCACAGCCCCACTCCCAATGACCACAAACTGTGCGCCTACAAATTGACTTACCAAGCTTTGCGTTATCTGTCATGCCGTGTATGTTTCAGGAACAAGTATAAGATTAAAATAGTCACCAAGAGGAATGCTCACTGGCTGAAGCACTTTGATTTCTCCAAAAGATCAGTTGTACTCCTCAGCCACTTTTACAGTTGGTAAGAGCTACAGGATAAACATTTTGGAAAGCAGGCCAGTTTCCTTCCGATGTCTGCAGATAACAAGCTCTGTACCTACCTTTCTGTTACCATTGTTCCCTCAGAATACATCTTGTTCTGATACAGACAAACGAAGAGATAACAATCTGTGGGAAAAATGCTGTCTGACAAAGACTAAGTACATTTCTTGGCTAATATCCACATTACTTCAGAGGGATTCTTTTGAGCTGAGGCCCTGAGATGGCTCTCTAAGGAAACACAGGGAGAACTCCATGAGCCACAATCTGCTTGGTTCTGTGTCTGCTTGTTTGTTCACTTCTTCAGCTTAAAGTGCACCTGAGCAAGCAAGACAACCAAACCTAACACAGAAGTCAAAACATTATTAAAATGTTCATGCTGGTGCAATGTGAAAGAGAAATATTTCATGCAATACCCTCTGCCTCTGTTCAGATAATGAACTGCTGCATATGAAGTAACTCCTTAAATCAGCGTGCATGGTTCTTACAGAAGACCCTGAAGCTAGCCAACCATAAGCTTATTTTCCACAAAAAAAAGCCCTTATTCAGATAAAATTTCACATTTATTCTGAAAATATAAGGTGAAAGTAGAACCTGAACAGATGTTCACTGCAAAGATCAGCAACAGTCTTAAGGTAAACTGCAGTTCAAGGTACAAAGAATGAAGTACCTGACCAGAGCCCAAGAACGATGCATATTAAATATCTGTAAGTCTTTACCCTGAATCAATAATATTTCATCTATTAGTTAGGTAGTGTAATTGGAGGGCAATTATACAAGCTCAACAATATGAAAAAAAGTTTCAGTTGCATCACTGAAACTTTACTGTTGTCAAATAGAAGTTACTAAAATCATAAAAAATGGTAACATCACAGGACCATAAAAAGAAATATAATATTTTATCAATTTCTTGAGGTTGGGATTAAAGGCACTTGAGACAGTATTTCATGTTCAGACTCAGGTGTTTATTATTTCTTATCTATGTTACAGTCTAACTACTGTGAGTTTGGCAGCTTTTTCATTAGCAAGGCACAAAATGGCTCACTCTTGTTACAAGGTCTTTTAAAACTAAACTATCCAGTTAAGAAAGGACACCTAGATTATTTTCCCTTTTAACCCAAAAACTGATCCTCTGAAGTCTGCAATGTGGACTTTTCTGTCCAGTCACAAAACACCACCCAAACCCATGATGAAGAAGGAAGAACAACCTGCCTCTGCCCTAAAACCTCCATCTTGCTTCATATTTATTTCTATATTCTAAAATCCCAAACTCTAAGTTTTCCACCCAGTGATATTACAGGCTTCTAACCAACTACACATCTACAATCCCAGTGCTATTTACCAATTTTAAAAGCCTGTTCCACAACCACAGGTCAAATGTAGTGTTCTCCTGTGAGTCTGTGCCTTTAAGCACAGAAAGTTTTAAATTCTCAGCATCCAGGATTCCAACAATATTTGAATAAACTATTCAAATGTGATCTTGTGAGAAGCATCTCAGAGCATGGGTCTGCAGGAGTTTGAAATATATTTTTACTAGCTTTCTGAAGACACACTTATAAATGTTTTGAGAGCATCTCTATAACTCTGACTTCCCCGTGCAATTGTTCTGGAACTGTTCCACCGCAGGTGAAATGCTCATAGGAAATTTTCCCTGAAACCACAAGCTGACAAGAAAACAAACCAAGGAAATTCTTCTACCTAGGAACACTACCAGGAAACAAGAAACAAAAACCAAAACCAACCAACACTAAACCAACCAACCAACCAAAAATAAAAAAGAGAGAAAAATGTAAGAGAGAAAATTGTAAACAATACCTTTGAGGAGCCTTTTTCTTTGGAAGAAGCCTTATACCCACCACCTTGTTCACCTTTTCAGAGCTGAGGAAAACAAACTTAGCACAACTGAGTTTGAAAATGAGATTTATAGTCAATGTCAGTTGTGGTTCCCCCAACATGTACCTCCCATCCCTTCTCCTCCTGTGAGAGGAAGGAAGTATTTCAATATACTCAAAAAGCATTGCTGTTCCCTTCCCCGAATCTGGTTAATTCAATGACAGAAACAATTTATATTCTAGTGCTGAAAATAAATGTTTGGACACTTGTTAAAGACTAGTTAAGTCTAATGACTTAAGCATCCCATCAGAAACAAAGTCAACATTGAACTACAACTAATACACTTATAGACTATTAGATATAGAATAAAGCAAGTACATAAAAAAAGGCAGAATGAAGTTAATCACTTGGTAAGTCCAGTAGATGCCTTCTAGCTAGTTGTCCCTCCGCACTTTGCTCCTATCCCTGAAACAAAGCAGATGCCAATAGAAATGCACAGGACCTTTATACATTAGAAATGTTTTTCTTTAATACTTCCATATTTATGCCATTAGTGAAAGAGGCTCAGATAAACAGATCATTTAATAGAGATGCTTTTGCCTGTGTGAATAAAAGTAAGACCAAATTAACATGAACTTTAAACATTTTAGCTTCCCAGCACAGTCCATAAGGGAGTTATGCACATGTACAGCAACATACAATGAACTTGCCTTCAAGATGTAAACAGGGGGCACTCTTATCTCAGCTGAATATCTTTGGAGGAGTTACTTTCATTAGCAGTCTCATTGGACATTAACCATTGTTATTTAATCAGTAAGCTTTAATGCAATACAGTCCCAAGACCTTCCCAAAATGAGCTGATGTTATTATTATTTCATTTATAGATAACTGGGGAACAAAAGCTGTGTGATCTAGACACCATTCTAATTCCCGCCGATTTTAGGAGGAAAAAATAAAACTGAATAATTCAGATGTGACCCAAAAATGATTTAAAATGCTGAACTATTGGTGGGCATGACCCCCCTGCCCCAAAATGCAATAAGCGAAGCCTCACCATTGACTATTCCATGACCAAAAATTATCCTTAATCCTGGAGTGCTTCTGCCAGTTTCCAAGTTTGTCACTGACATGAAGGAGGGGAAAAAATAGAGACATACATCAGGTTCCACTCTTTGAGGTAAAAGCTTATCATTACCACTGACCTGCTGGAAAGTAGCTCTGCAGAGAAAGACCTGGGGGGTCCTATTGGACAACATGCTATGAGCCAGCAATGCCCTCGTGGCCAAGGCCAATGGTGTCCTGTGCACTAGAAAGAGCACTGCCAGCAGATCGAGGGGATTGATTCTGCTCCTCTACTCAGCCCTGGTGTGACTGCATTAGAAGTGGTGTGTTCAGTTTTTGGCTCCTCAGTAGAAGAGAGAAGTGGAGCTCCCGCAGCAACCAGTGGAGTGCAATGAGGATGAATGGTCAACTGGAGCTTCTCTTTTATCAGCAAAGGCTGAGGGAGCTGGGCCTCGAGAAGAGATGGTTGAGTGTGGACTTCTTCAATGTCTATCAGTATCTGAAGGGAAGGTGTCAGAGGATAGAGCCAAGCTCTCCTCAGTGGTGCTAAGCAACAAGACAAGAGGCAATGGGCAGAAATGGATGCACAGAAGTTCCACCTAAACATGAGGAAAAACTCTATTGTGCGGGTGACCATGCACTGGAACAGGTTGCCCATAGAGGTTGTGGAGTCTCCCTCACTGGAGATACTTAAGAATCATCTGGATGGGATCCCGTGCCAAGTGCTCCTTGAGCAGGGAACTTGGACCAGCTGACCCACTGCGGTCCCTTCCAAACTCACCCATTCTGTGATTCTGCGATTTGCAAAACAAAGCAAGACCGCAAACCGGGTGCCGCTAGCTACTTGGGAAGGAAACACCACCGCAGGTACTTCAGGCGGCCGTTCTCCCGCCGCGTACAGGAGCTTTCCCGGAGCTTTCCACACGCGTGCGCGGGGCCCGTGGGCGGCCGCCGGGCGTGTGAGGGGCGGGCGGGGCCGGGCGGAGCGGAGGCGGCGGGCGGGGCCGCGGCAGTCGGTGCGCGCTCGCCTTCCGCCTCACAGCAGAGGCGGCCGCGGTCGGGCCTGTGCCGGGGCGGCTGTGGCGCCGCCGTCGCTGCTGTTCGGCTGCGTAACTCTTCCCCCGGCCCCTCCCTTCCTTTCCCCTCGGGCCCAGCCGCGGCGATGGGTTCCCGGGCGTCCACTCTGCTGCGGGACGAGGAGATCGAGGAGATCAAGAAGGAGACGGGCTGTGAGTGCGGGGCCTGAGTGCGGCGGGGCGGGGCGGGGCGGGAGGTAGCGCGGGGCCGCTCGCAGCCCCTCAGCCGGGCAGGCCCTGCCCCGCGCCGCCGCGGCGATCGCGCCGGGGCAGAGCCGCTCCCCGCCACCCGCAGCCCCGGGGCCGGGCACGGCTGGCAGGCCCGCGGAAGCCTGAGAAGCGCCTCCCGGTTCCCCCCCACCGCTGCTGCCGGTAGCAGCTGCGGGATCCCAGTGGGATAGAAGGGAAGCAGCGCTTTTGTTGTGTGCAGTATTGTATTCGTCAGAGAAACTCCTTGGGTTTTGAGGAGTTGTCCGTCTCGATGCCTGGTGCTGGAGTTTCTCTCAGGTTTTAACCCAAAGAAACTGTCGTTGGATAGTAATTTTTTTTCCCAAAGTGTTATTTGTTTCATGGGCTAGTGCTGAAGTTGCCGTAAGGATATTCAGAATGAATGCTGTGTGACATTTAAACCGTAAAGGAAGTAATGTAACTCACGAGAGATAAGTGTTATTAACTAAAAAGAAGTGAAAATTCCTGTACTAGTCAGCAACAGGGAGAGCATTATTTAAGCTGGACTCTAATATTTAGATACTTTACCCTACAGTATTTGATCAAGTTGTTCTGCATAAACATAAAGTACCTTAGAGAAGGTGAAACTCCAGTGTTGTTAATTTGCCTGATAGAATGATTGCCTGAGAGTTCCAGCAAACGATAATAAATGATTTAGTTCCACTAAATTATAATAAATGGAGGATGCCTTTCTAACTATCTGGGGAGCAGAGGTCATCACATCACTGTTATCACTTAGCTGTTTGTTTCCCCAGGAAACTTCTCAGGTTAACATGCCATGCCCAGCTGACAATTTTTCTTCTGAATATACCTTCTGATCTAGTCTTTCTACTTGAAAATGCTTTCTTCAGTTTTCTTTCCAATATACATGGTATCATGTATTCTTCTTAAGTGTTAGTTTATTTGTGTCAGGAAAATGAGTGGCTACAGAAAAGGAGTAGAAGATTAAGACATCACTGGAACTAGTGTAGTGGCAGGCTGAGTGAGTTAATATAGTTTCCATGATCCTTTTTCCATCTGTCATGAAATGTGGTGATAAACAAATAGGAATGTCTGTTTATCCAGCAATAACTTTCTATTGTTTTTTCTTTTTAATCACAAAGATCATGGAGTAAAGGTAGCATCTTCTCTTTTATAAAGATGCTTCAAAATCCAAACCCCAAATCTGGAATATTTTTCCAGAAGGCTTTACATTTTTCCTCATGCTACTACTTGATTTATTGTCTGTGGTGTTTTATTCCTTAATGTTTACTTACGTGATAGTTAAATAAATACCATTAAGATGGCTATATAGGCATTATATGCAATAAATCCACTTGACTCTAGTTAGCCTCTAAATGCTTTTCTTGTATCATCAGAGGATGAGCAAAGTTGTGACTGGTGGGTTTCAGCTTTGTGACCTGATGTCTGTTCATTTTCCCGTGTTTTTATCTAGTAAATTTTATAATTAATACCACTTTAACCAACCATTGCTCTCTGACTCATGCTTGCTTGTAAGTAATCATAGTGTGTCTCATTGATTTTATCAATAATTTTCTTCTCCCCAGTCTGTAACTGCAGTTTAGGAATGTGATTTTTCTCTGCTTTTTGTGCTTCTCTAGGTAGATGGAAAATTCCACCAAGCTGTTAGCACAGTTATACACTTCATATAGGTGAAAATATTTATACAGGGTGGTGAAAAAACCCAAATAAACACTGGTTATCTAGATCAAAGTTCACAGGCAGATTGCTAAGGTAGTGTTACTGAACAGACTTCTGTGGTCTGTTGGAAACTTGATGCTGATGGTACTTCAGCTACTGAAGAGTTTGAGAAAGGGACTTCATAGACATAAAAAAATATGTCAGCATTACAAGTCCATCTTGAACTGTTTTCTACAGTTCATCTGGGGTAGGTGTGAAGCACTGAGTAGAACACTTAACCAATTTGATTGAGTTCAACTGTGGAATTATGTAACTTCTGCTCAATTTCATGTAACACAAAACTGAATAGCTAATGATACTGGCATGAGTGAGAAGCTGTATGTTAGTGTTCTTCAGCAGAACAGACATAAAGAACGTGTCTTTTATGGCACTAGAATCATAGTCTTTCAAAAGCTATGCAATGACACAATCTGTTGAATGAAATCTGCTTGGATTCAAATTCTATTTTTGTTTTGTGGTAGTGAAAAGCACTTTGTAGCATAAGTTCAGAGTCACGTGCAAAGGTAATGCATGAGGTTCTCAACAGCAGGTGCGAAGCCTGAAGTTAACAGTCCTAAATCTCACATGATGTTATCTGGAAATCATTTGCTTTGCATATAAACATTTTGAAATCTGAGCATGAAAACACCTTGAAGTCATCCTAATTGCTTTGATATTTCAGTAACAACTATAAAAAAAGATGAGAGGCCCAAGATGTTGCTTGTCTGTATTCTCTTGCAAGCTTTTGGAAAGCTGTTGGAATGTAACAGTATTCAAATTATTTGGTTCACACCCTTTTTTTCCATGCTTTGAAGCCCTGTACCTAAGGATTAATAATAAATTAATGCTTATACATTAATTTAGGAGAAAAAAATGTTTGCTTAGTGGCAGATAATAGATTTTTCTAATGGAGATTTATATATTTTTCTAAGCATATAAATAGTTTTATATGAGTTTATGCTACTGTTGTAGACAAGAATGTCTAATTGCTAAAAACTTCACAGTGGTTTAACATAAGTGAAATAGAGAGAGCAACTCCTAATTTAGAGGTCTTGACCCAGAATTTTTAGGAGAATCTTAGTGGGGTAGCAGTATAGATAAAATGATGTTTCAGCTAATTTTAAGCCTTAACCTTAGATTTTCAAGAAGCAGTCATAAAGTGCAGATCTTAATTCTCCTAGGTATTCAGGAGAATCTTTATTTTTGCTTACAAACACACTGTAAAGTGTCCAGTGACACAGCTTTTGTGAGAGATGAGAGCCAAAAGGAAATTACGACAGAAGACTGGTGAACCTGAATCATCCTCCTTTTTCACAGAGCTATGATATGCTTTTTGTCTAGTGTGACGTTAATGAAAATATCACTTCTCCTGTCAACAGCTATGTACTATTTCTCACATACTAGCTGTTACAGAGATGTTCCAAAAGTGTAGATGCTGACATCAGTTTGGGAATGGTAGCTGAGTAAAATTCTCATCACCTTTGTTTACAGGGAGGAGTGGGAGTATGGGGCTTCTAATAGGAGATCTAACTCCATCCTTCTTTTTTTCACCATCAGTTGTTGTTATGGTATCTAAAACATTACATCAGAATGGAGAAGGTTGAAGTCTTCAGGGTACTGGTACTTGTTTTTTCTGTGTGTGTTGCTTAACTTCAAAGTGAGCAAGCTGCCCGGTCTGATTGTAGAGAAGTTGCCTTAGGTGAAACTGAGCAAATTGCCCAATCCTATGCAAAGAATGCAAGTTGCTGAGGAGACAAGAAGGCTGAGGAGGGGGGAGTGTTTGAAAACCCAGTTGCTAGCAGGTCATGCTAAAGGAGAGAACTGTTGAACCTAAACAAATAGCCTCGAGAAAGAAAGAACAAACCTGAAAAAAGAAATTTGCCTCACTTGTTACAGATCAAACCACTACTGTGCAACTTCTTCCCAAATAAGTTTGAGTAAGTAAGAGAAGCATTGTGCATGTCCTGGTGAAGGCTTTTTAAACTACTAAATCTGAAAATTACAGTAAGTCCTAGTTTAACATTGCAGACAATCACACCTTTACTTAGTAAACATTAACATTCAATTCAGCTTTATTTCATGTGTTTATTAACTTCATCCGAAAAGCCAGGATCTCCTGTAGGGCCTTGTGGTTTAACCTCAGCTGACAACTAAGTACCACACAGATGCTTGCCTACTCCCTGTCAGGGTGGGGGGAGAAGCTGGGGGAGAGGGGAGGTAAAACCCATGGGTTGAGATAAGATGTTTAATAATTGAAATCAAGTAAAATATAATAATAATTTTTAAAATGTTATTAATATCAGTGATAATACTAATTGTAATGAAAGAGAACTAAACCCAAGAAAGACAAGAGAAGCACAGTACAACTGCTCACCTCCTGTTGACCAATGCCCAGCTTGTCCCCAGACTGTGATTGGCCCCTCCTGGCCAATTCTCTCCAGAATTGTATACGCTGGACATGATGTTCTGTGGTACAGAAGATCCCTTTGGCCAGTTCAGAGCAGCTGTTCTGGCTGTGCTCCCTCTCAGCTTTTTGTGCTCCTCTTCACTGGCAGAGCCTGGGAAACTGAGAAGTCCTTGGCTTAGGGTAAGCACTACTTAGCAACAGCCAAAACAACAGCGTGTTGTCACTGTTACTCTCCTGTGAAATCCAAAAACCACAGCAGTGCACCAGTTACTAAGAAGAAAATGAACTTTGTCCCAGCTGAAACCAGGACAAGTGTTCTTTCAGTGTTAAAGGAATTGCTATTCTGTACAAGTTTATCCCACTCACATCACTAGAGGTCTAGTTGTCTAGTATCTTGGGTTTTCTAGTACCTTGGTAATATTGACACAGTTATGCTGAACTTAATATTGCCTTTGTAATTTATGTTTCAAACTGCAAATTTAAAGTCTGAAATAACTTTCTGCTTGCTTTGTATCCCAACTCCTTCTCAAATTTCTTTAGAAATAGGGTTTTTAATTTGTAATTCCATGTCCTAGAAGCCTGGAAATTAATTAGTGAGCAATTGGCTCCTGGGTTGGGCGCAAAGGGTTACAGTGAATGGGGTAACATCAGGTGAGTGACCAGTCATTAAGAGGGTTCTGCAGGGCTCCATTTCAGGGATAGTTCTCTCTTAACATCTTTGTAAACAACTTGGATGCAGGACTCAAAGGCATACTAGGCATACTATACACATTTGCCAGTGTCACTAAATTGGGAGGAGCTGTTGACTCCCTCGAAGGCAGAGAGATCTTAACAGAGGGCTGGGCACCAAAGTATTGCTGGTTTAATGCAGGATCTAAAAAATACTATTGAATCTATCTTTGGCTCCATGTTCTGGAACAGAGCCTTCCTCATCTCTGCTCTCTTGTGAGCAGTGATAGGACCTGAGGGAAAAGCATGAAGCTGTGACAGGGAAGGCTTAGGTTGGACATTAGGTCAAGGTTCTTCACCCAGAGAATGAATGGGCACTGGAACAGGCTCCCCAGGGAAGTGGGGAGCACCAGCCTGACAGAGTTAATGAAATGTTTGGACAATGCTCTCAGGCATATGGTGAAATTCTTGGGGATGGTGCTGTGCAGGGCCAGGAGCTGGACTCCAATGATCCTTCTGGGTCCCTTCCAAGTCAGGTTATTCTCTTATCTATGAACTCTTCAGATTTCAGCAGTCTTGTAAAGGAAGAAAAGTAAAATAAAAATTAAGGCCTCTCTGACCACTTTCCAGACAGAAAAACCGAGTTCACTTTCTGTCTTTAGGTGGAGAAATGACAATGGGAGTAGAGATAAGCAAAAGAGAAGGGAAGATACTATAGCAGGGGTCTTTAGTGTCATGAGTGATACAGAGGTCATCAGTGTAGGCTGTGTCCAGATTATTTCCAGCTGTAAAGGAATTAAAGGAAATAAAGTGGAACTGTGAATCAAATATTTTTATTTTTAATTGACATTTACTTAATCAGATAATGAAAAATTGTTAAAGATAAAAAATAGAAATGCACAGAAGACAAAGTTATATTTTTGAAGAATTAGCTAATTTATAGATTCTTGAATATTAAGCTGTGATTTATAGCTTACAAAGTCCCCAAATGCTCCTTGTCATGTGCATTCAATGTAACTGGTTCTATGTGAATTCTTTTTTGCATACAGCTTCTGGCAACTGTGCAGTTCAGTGTAATGAGGTCTTCTCCTATGAGGAATCATTGACATGATAATTTGTCATCTTCTTTCTTTTCTTCTTCAGTCTCCCACAGTCAAATCACCCGTCTGTACAGTCGCTTCACCAGTCTGGACAAAGGAGAAAATGGCACTCTTAGGTGGGTAATTCAGCTGTACTTGCATTGGCACATCTGTATTGGTGGCTTGCTGTTGCAGGATGTCTGTGTGTTTTTCTCATTGATAGATCACTGAGGCTATTGTAACAAGTTCTTTCATATCTCCTGTCTACCTGAAAGGTTTAATTGTTGAGCTGAGGTGCTCTAGCTACCAACTATCTTTACTGTAGTGTTGAAGGTTTGTAGTAGTTAACAGAAGAGAGTTCAGATTTGGTATTCAAAGTCTTATAAAAATGTTCAGAATTGTGAAACAACGCTTTTAGATGGGTATTTCTTACCTTTCTTTAAATGTTTCTTCTAATGTTTAATATGAGAATGGTTCTGTTGTGTCATTTTTATCCTGACTTTCATAAGAAAAAATAGCTATACTTACTTGTTTCTAATATCCAGTATCTTTAAACACTTCTTGGATCTGCAATGCATTTACTATATGTAACTTTGCAGCTCTTGTTGGACACCCATATCTATTAGTATACTCAAAATTAAAAAAAGAGCTGGAACCAAGTCACTGTTACTAAACAAACATTGTGTTATTTAAAGTGGTAGTGCAGGACATTCTAAGATCTTTAATGTTTGTTTCCTATCTACAATTTGAAAGCTACAGAAGTAAACTAGTTTCTTACAGCTTAGTCAATTAAATAAAGATGAGTCTTTATCTGCAAAACATTTTTCATTTTGATGGACCAAGTCTGCTGAATACAGTATTCTCAACCAAAAGGTAAACTGTGGTGAGATGATGGCCTGTGAAAATATATCTCTGCCTGCTGTCATTCTGTAGCCTTCCCTGCTCTCGTGGATTTTGTTTCACCATATAGCCACAGTGCACACAAAAGCTGGAGAAAAAAGCAGGAGAGAGCAGGAAGGGGACAGAGACATTATTGTAGCATAACATGAGATCTGGCTCTTACAGAGTTAACTTCTTTCATAGCAGCTCTATGCCAGTCAAATTCAGGGATTCATGCATCACCTGCAGTTTTGTATGTGATCTTGTAAAATATGACTGCAGGATGCACTATAAACCCAGAAAAGCTATAGGCCTGCCTATAAACCAGACTAACTGTAATGCTGGAATCACCTCTTAAGAGATCAAAGTGGCAAGTGCAAGATACATGGGCCTTGGCAGTACTTCAGGCTCTCTGCAGTTTCCTTTCCTGAAGGAAATGCGCAGTTCCTTCTAGTGCAACAAATTGCTGACTTCTCAGCATTTAAGTGATTAGATGTGGAATTGTATGGTAAACAAGACTACAGAGTGAATATTTTGGGTTAAAAATACTCTCCCTCCCTGTTTGCCTTGTGTAGGTTTTGAGGCTGATTGACTCCAGTGATTTGGACTATGGCTGTACTGTAAATTTCTAGACTTGCATAGCTGAAGGGATGACTAAATGGATTATGCATGTAAAAAATTGTCTTGGGATGGGATATGCAGGAACTTCCAAAAGCCCATTCTGACACTAAAACCAATGTATTATATAAATTGTAGCATTGGCAATTCTGATGTAGACATGAACTGATGAGATTATGGATAAGGTTGATACTCCTTATGTTTAAAATTGTTTGGAAAAGAACATTAACAGTCTGTTCAAACTTTATAGGTGAGTTTAATATTCATGGATGAATAAAGGTTATGGTTACTGGATTAGTCTAGCACAATTTGAACCTAGGACATTCTCTTTGTCAACCCTTCCATGTTCTCCTCCAACACTAAATTCACTTACTGAATCCATAAGGTTTGTATAAATGTCAAAGTGATTGTACTCAGTTTATGCAAGAGGAGTAATTGATTAAATATGCTGTGAATGTCTGTTGCACAATGCTTAGTTTCACAGTATTATGCATCAGGAGGAGGTAGACTTCCATTGTTGATGATCATGTGGTACTTAGGAAAGGAAGTGGAGGTTGTTTGGGAAATCCCAGCAACGGTGCATATTATGATCCCTTAACTTGCAGTCTTGGCCCCTTAGTATAGCCCACTCTCAAACATGTCTGACTTTCAATTCAATTTTTTAAACTTGTTCTGGTACCCACAAAATGCAGACACTATTAAGTTTAAGTAATGGAAAACTACTTCCTGTAGATTGAGAGAGTAAGAACTACAGCTTGGAAGGTCACAGGTGTTGGTTTCTGAGATACAGATCAAAGAGAACGTACTGCTTTAAGACAAGTAAGAAGTTATCACTTGCTTACTGCCACCAGTTTAGAGGGTATGTCTTCTGTTTGTTTCCTGTGAGCAAGATTTATTATTTCCGTAAGGATGACTTACACCTTTGACTTACAAGTCAAACATGACAAAATCACTCATGTGACCATGATTAGGAAAATAAATGTCAGGTAGTTCTTTATGGCATGAAATAAAGCTTTAAATGTGTATCACCCTTCTGAAGAAGGGCGAAGTAAAGAACACTTTGTACAGAAAATCTGGCAGATGGTGATTAATCCTGGTAGTTCTGGAACTGCAATCAAAAGCAGAAATCTTTCATAGCCAGATGTTTCTATCCAGTGTACCTATGTGCAATTTCAAGGCACTTTGTTTTCAAAGAGTTACATAAATGAAATATTAGAGATGGTTATTGATAAAGACAAAGCTTGGTCTTCAAAAAGTTTTTTGTTTTTGCTTCCTTTTTTCCCCCTCTCACATATTTATTCTCTAAGTGACTATAGCTGTTTTTACATGTAAAGGTAAAAATGTCAACTTTACCTTCACCTTTCTTTAAAAGTGTAGAAAAATTTTATATTTTTCCTTAGCTTCACTTTTTCTAAATGAGTAAGTTCTCTGACTTCCACCATCTGAAAAAAACCATGTTGGAAAAGCGGAACAAAACTGTTCTTGAAAATTCTTTTGTCACTTTTGATTTCAATATTGTGACATACTGAGTTGCCAAAACAAAAGATTGATACCCTTGGTTGTCCATTGCTACATCTGAATTGTGAAATCTGGAACATACTTGTTCTGTCTACATCCTAACTATAGTGCTGGAGGAAAAGAGTGCATGTTTCCTTACGTGCTGATTTCCAATATGAGGAAATAGTGTAGCATGAACAGGGTAAATATGTGATTGCTTAGTGAGTCTCCCTGCTGGGCTGGTACTGTAGTGTACACCACACAAGAATACCTTTGTTCCAAAGTTTATCTACGAGTAAGTAGCTCTAGACAGACATGTATAGAGCTATAAAAGGAGGTACTTTTGTAAACTGCAATCTTTGCATGTAACTTTTGTATGGAACCTCCCGCTTAACAATAGTTTCTTGGGCACTGGGGAAAAGGCAATTTAAGCGCTTTAGAAGTGGTTTTTAATGTACAGTAATTGGTATAGCCTGGTAAGCATGGAAGAATGTTCTGAAAGCTGGTAGCTACAGAGGGTAGACACACTGAGCTGTTTATGCATATCTCATGTTTATGAAAGCTGTTCACACGTGTCTTCTGGAGAACTTCAGAAAGCCTGTGATCCTGAGAGAAGGGTAACATGAGCCAGCCAGGCCATCTGTCAGTCTTTGTCAGCTGACTGAACCATCTGGGTCTGGAAAGATGTCAGGCTTGTTCTTATTAGTTCAAACGGGTACTGCAAGATTGCAAAACGTAAAAGCTAGCTCTCTGAATGTGGAATTCTTTACTTTTGCTCAAGAAAATGCAAAGCATTTTTAGCTTTATCTAAAATAGGAAAGACAGGAAGGATATGGGTTTGGATTGGAAAAGACAGGGTACAAGAATAGTCTATACTTGCATCTTCAACCACACTTATGCATGCCGCCTTTTTCTTTCCTTCCTTATTGCTCATCTAATTATCACCTTTTTGCGTACTCCTTGGCCTTACGTTTATGAACCAATTAGTGCTGTGATAGTTAAGCAACTTTTAACATTTGTGTAGAGCATGCGTAAGGATAGAGTTAGATGAGATGGATGACACGATCCTGAAGGGGGTGGGGGGCAATATTGGTATTCTTTCCCCATAACTTCTCCAGGCTTCCAGCACCTCATTGTCAGCTGTGGTGCTCTTAGATTTTTTGAAGTTTTTGAACTGCCTCAAGTTGTGAATTCAACAGAAAGCTAACTGAAGAGGGGGAAGGTAGGGAGTTTTTTATGGGCGATACATTCATTAGATCATCAAAAGGTTAAATGAATGACAAAGCTGATGTTAGCAAGGGAATGGGGAAATTGAACCTCTCCAGTAGTAAGCTCTTAAATATTTTTGACCAACTTGCATGATACACCTTATTGCTTTTAATTATTTCCCCTCTTCAAGTATTTTCTTGTTATCTGTATCCTCTGGGCATCTTTCTTCTACCAGTTCTGATGCGCATATATATGGGTTTTTTTTCGTTTCCATTATTTCCTGTCCCTCGGCTCTAGATACCCCTCCTCATCCCTGGTGTTTTTGCTAACATCTAGAAGTAACAGAAGAATGAACAACCAGAAATGGAAGGAAAAAACGGGTCTTGTAAGCTTCTTGCAGTCTTTGGGATAAGGCAGAACCACCTTTACATTAAGGATCTGCTTTGTGCCTTGGGGGGAATACTCAGCTTAGGAACACTTGTCTTCCTTAGAATCTAGAAATTCTTCGCTGCAAATTACATCTAATTGTGAATACACTGGAGTATGTATTAAATGGTTGGCCTGCATAATGTTCACATGCAATTAAAGGTTGCTTTGCCTGTTGCATTTAAGCAAAGATTTCACAAGAGCCAGGTTCATATAAAGATACCTTAGAAGAGCCTTGTTGCCCATGAACACATAAGAAGTAGAGGGTATTAAATTTCATGTAAGCACCAGCTTCAGCCAGGTGAAGTTGGTCCCTAATGACTGCAGGAAAGCTTAGCTTTATAGAGTGGAGAATAACTTACCTCACATGCATTTGCTTTTATGGCTGTTGCAGCTATTTCAGTTATAACACTCACTCAGTAATGTGCTCTTAATAAGCAAAAGTGCTCTACTGCAGCCCTGATAATGACAGGACAAATAGATTTGAAACCAGGGAATTATTTGTGGTTAATTGTTAATCTCCTGTTAGAAAACAGAATCACTGGAGGTTGAAATGCCAAGTGTCTACCCAAGCTGAATACTAGGAAGTCATGATATGCAAGTAAAAAATTCTTAAGCATTAGACTTTGCTCTACATGGAAGACAGGGCAGGTGCTGCTTTTAGGTTATAAAGTTAGCATTGACATTGAAGTTCTGCTGTAAAATATTGTTATTAGGACACAGGCTTTCCACATCACTGCATCTCCTGCTTAAATCACTAATGCATACTTTGCCCTTCAGCAATAGCTTAAAATGCAGCAGTCCTGAAGGGTCTGCTAACAAGTTGATCATGCTAAACAGATGTTAACTTTGCTTATTAAAAATAATACGGGACCTGGTCAGAGCAGAAGTTTGCTGGGATAACTTAAAAATATGGTCAGGTCACTCTGTTAGAAGATCAGACAGTTTAACCATGTTCTAACAGATGCACTGTAATTAGGACTCTTAACAGTGCTGTGGTGGTGACTGGGTGCAAAAAGTACTTCAGAATACATTTAAAACTAGAACATCTTGTTTCTCTGCCTTTCCCAAGCTAGACTGGTGATAAAGTCAGCCAATTTATTTTTTACTCTTTAATATCACAGCATTATAAAAGGCTTTTATATTTAAATAATCTCAAAATTTGGTTGTGTTTACTTTAGTAAGCCAGTTTTTTGGTTTAATATGTAATGAGTCAGACCTTGTTGCCAGTTTAGTTAGCGAGCATAGTTTTGAAAAGTTGCAAACATTCAGTCATCAAGTTTGAGACTTTGACCCCAAGTTCAAAACCAGCAGGACTGCATTTGACTTGAAGGGAACTGCTAATGTTTCTGGAGATTGGGCAGGAAATGTCAAGTTACACATCCAGACAGAATAGGGTGGGATTTTTTTACAGCTTAACTCTTTTGTTGTTTGCAATTCAAAATCTAGATGATTATGAAGTACATCTTGAACTGACTGGTAATTTGCTGTGTTCTGTTGTAAGGAAAAACAAACCAACCAAACCTGCTCACTAAGACACATATGGTGTGTTTGCCTTGGTCACATCAAAATTACCCATTTCGCTGTCACTGACAGTCTGTTAGATTGAAAGAAAAGAGAAAATACTAGTGCAATTCTAATAGGAGAATGAAGCCTGTGTTCATGTCATACTGTTCTAAATTATGTATGCAGTACAGCTCGTGATGTCTTTCAGATCAGAAGAATAACAATGTAAGCATAGCTGTGTTTATATTGTATTGTGTACATATAATCATGATCAGAAAAGAGAATGGCTGGCAAGAGCAGTGAGTATTTGCCTGTACTAGTGAAATTATATCTGGTGTACAGGTGCCTGTAAAGTGTAAAATTGCCAGTTTAAAATAGGAATACTGCTTGGTTGAAGCTAAAATAATCTGAAATTTGGCGTTTTTAATAAGATACAGATTTATTGCAGAAACAAACAAAAAAAATCTATTGGAACATACTAATGACCTATAGTATGCTTGGAGAAGTATGGTATTCTTCCAGAATCTGAAATGAGGCAGTCTGGAAAAGTAATGACAACTCATATTATTAAGTACCAAAATAATTATTTAAAAACCCCAATGAATATTTTCATCTTGGAGCCGTAATTTCTTTCAAAACAACTTCAGAAGCTTTCCTTTTCTTACATTGCAAACTAGTTGGCATCATTACAGTACGGTTTCTAGCACAAGTTATGTTATTGTCTGAGAAGTGTTATTAACATGATAAATGAGCACTGCTAGTTTGTAATGCCATACAGATTTGACATTGTTTTTTGCTTTATTTTGTGTCATTAGTCATAAAGAAAACATGATTTAAAAAGTTGCATTTTCAAAATCACTAAATGTCTTGCTGCAGAAATAGGATTCCACTGATGTTTTACTGTGAATTTTTTTTAAGCAACTTTTTATCTGACTTCAGCTTTATGCTGACTGGTTGTGTTCTTGCTTTCCTTAGCCGTGAAGACTTCCAGCGGATTCCAGAGCTTGCCATCAATCCACTCGGAGACAGAATTATCAACGCCTTCTTTCCAGAAGGGTGAGTTTCAACAAACTGAATTTATGAGCAGAAGTTCGTCAGAAGTTTTTATAGGAGTGAAATGCTGATAATTAAAGCACAGAATTTGAATTAACTAGTAACTAAACACTTCAAACTTGCCATGCAGTATGTGTGGGTACATAATTTCCTCAGCATATTTTAATTCTCTTAAGGAGAAATACTTTACGGCTTTACAAGACTTTTTTTGCTTTATTTATTGACAAGCTCAGGCTTCTGCCACAGTTTTCCACTCTTCTTCCTAAACTACTGAACACTTACGAAGAAATTCCCAGCTGTGTATAGACTTTGGTTCTTAAAGCAAACTTGTATCAACACTATTCTGTGTTAAGTAGCATTACAATCAACTAATTTGGTCTTACTATATCTGATATAGTAAGTGTACCATTGTTATTAGATTGGCTTCTTTGGTTGCTTGATTTTAGGTTTTTATTACATTTAAGATATAGTTTATGACACTTCTAACACAAATCCAAAGAGATGATCAAATTTTCAGTATTGTCTCTCTTCATTATACCCCTTTGGATTGTTCTATGGAATCTCTTGAACACAGTTGCTGTTACGGATTGATGAAGGTTGGATTGTCTAATCAAGTCATAATATCAGCTGAAACGAGGCAGGGTTTACTGAATAGAAAGCAGGCATCTTGGGAAGTACTTACATAGCTGGTTCCCACAGAAACTAGAGAACTCTTTGTCAGAAAGCAGTGAGCAATGACAGCCCCACAGGCAGGGGCCAAGGGTGACAGCGAAGCTGGAAGGGGTGATGTACTGGCTGAAGAGGGGCACACACCTGAGCACAAAAAGCAGAGTAGGCCCAGTGACTGCAGTCAGGTCAACCAACAGTCCAGTGCTTGACAGTGCTGAAACTAGTATCAAGTCAATCCAGGGGTCCAGATCAGCAAGATACATTGCTGCATTCCGGCATAGCTGCAGCATAGCTCAGGCATGGGTTAAGGGTTTCAGCTTAAACAGATCTTGCAGGTCAAGGAAGGGGAGTCCTCAGTAAGACTTCTCACAGCTTCTGCTTTTTTACACATCATACTTCGTAACAGCACGATCCCAGCGTGCAGCAGCATAGACAGCCAAACCCTGGGGAGGTGGGAATGAAAGAGTTCATATGGTCTTGGAGCTTTGGATATTAATAGTGTTCTTTACTGAAATGAAGAGCTTGTATAAGCTATGCCAAAAACTGAGCTGCTGAAATGCTTACACAGAGAGGACCAGGTGAATTTCCGTGGATTCATGAGGACACTAGCCCACTTCCGACCCATAGAAGATAATGAAAAGAGCAAAGACCAGAATGGACCAGAACCGCTGAACAGCAGAAGTAACAAGCTCCACTGTAAGAAATATGAACCTTCCTATAGAATCAATTAGTTTTCCATCTTTTTGGTTGGGTTGGGGTTTTTTTCTCCTCTTAGGAATGGAGGAAGGGATCTCCTGCACAGGTATTTCCTGTGTATTGATCTCTTCTAATGCCTGATCTTTTAAAAAGCTTACTTGGAACCTTATCTGTTCAGAATGTCAATAACTGAGCCATTGTTATATTAGAATTTGATGGAATTAGTTGACTCTTGACTAATATATATACTTTGCAAAATGTCATATAACAGAAGTGTTTCAAAATGGTTTGTATTCAAAATTATTTCAGATTTAGAAGCCACATCCCTCATTCATACATGAATGAGCTTTTAGGCTTATTTCTCCAGTTCTTCCATATAATTCTGCTTTTATTCCCTGCCTTCAGCTGAGTACTTTCTTAAGTATTTGGATGTCTGCCTACAGTATATGAGCAGAATGCTCTTTCTTGCTAATCAAAGTTGGCAACAGTCCTCAGAGCTCTTAAAATTTCTGTTGTATCTCATCCTGAATATAGTCAAAGAGAATGAATGATAATGTAAAAATGGTTGGCTCTGAAATTTGAAGGTCTGAATGTATCTTAGTGATAATTATTCTTCCGTGACTTGAGGTTTTTAGGAAATACCCTGCAAGCAGAGTGCTTGTGAACATGAAATTTTTCCATTATTGGCAAAAATGCTATTCCTGTGTGTGGTAACAATATTTTATTGAACTGAGCATGAGTTTTGTGGTGAATTAAAATTCTAAGCTAATTCTCTTAAAATAATTTACAAGTACTTAGTTTTGTTGTTTTTCTTTTAGGTAAATCTATTGTTATGAAGAAAAATAATGGCACTTGAATGTAACGGCTCCTTCTTTCTTTCTTTCTTTCTTCCCTGTAGTTGCTTTTCGATTATATGATCTAGATAAAGATGACAAAATTTCCAGGGATGAGCTCCTCCAGGTAAATAGTAAAGGGCTGCTTTGAATGACTCAATCATGATGTTCTCTCTGACTTCATACCCACTTAGAAGAGGAGAGTTGCAACAGTTTTCTCAAAAGAACTGCAGGAGTAATGTGGTGGCATTGCTTACCTCTGCCTTAAAGCTTTACATATGGTATGGGACTTTATTTTTACTTGGTAGGCTAGGCAGATCCTGTTGCTAGTGACACCTAAATATTCAACAAATACACTAAGCCCCTTAAGAACTACCTTCCGTAACTTTCAAAGGGGCTTCTAAAAGGATTTCAAAAGGACAGTTAGGTTGTTTGCCTGATCCTCTGTGCATCCTCTGTACAGAATAAAGCTTCTTGAAATTGCAGCAAAGGTAATCAAAGTTCATCAGTTCTGCATATGTATGAAACTAGGCTTGTGCTGGGAGTAATTACATGCTACTAATCCTGGGAAGTACACATGGCAATTTGTGGTTCCTGATGTAAGAAAAAGGTTTGCTTTTGACTGGAACTGCCCTCTTCTGTCTGCTCAGAAAATGCTTTACTGAATGTGGAGGGTAATGGCAGTTGTCACTGGACCCTGTACTTTCAAGATTCCTGTAGGCATACATCTCAAACAGCAGATATTCAATCAAATGCTGGTATGTTTACTGGGGGAAAAGTAGAACCACTGGACAAAATTACTCATTCCTAGTTCCAAAAGTTTTCTCTTGCTTCTGCCTCTTCCTGCTGCCTAGTGAAAAAGCAGGATTCTTTGTCAGTGGTGGCTGCAAAAGATACCTGTATTTCCTGAAAGACTTAATGTACAAAGGACAACAGAAGTCTGGCTAGAAATTACTTCAGTAAAATTACTTCAGAAGATCTTATGTGGTGTTATTTTGACAGCACCCATAAAAAGAAAGCACTAAGAATACTTCTGTTTCTATGTCAGTGATGGTTATTTTGTATGCTACAGGTATTACGGATGATGGTTGGTGTAAATATTTCTGATGAACAGCTGGGCAGCATTGCTGACAGGACAATCCAGGAAGCTGATCAAGATGGAGATAGTGCCATCTCCTTTGCAGAATTTGTAAAGGTTTGTAAACTATGTTTTTAATGACTTAATGAAGCTGCTCAGTAATGAGCAAGTCATTCAGACAAATGCAAATGGGAACACAGAGGAAGTCATTGAAATAGCTGTGCCTGCATTTGAGCAAAGCCTTCTGCTAGCTTTTTCATCCCTTTATTAGTCATGTTTTGGTTTTTTTAAATACTGTCAGGGTGTTAATAGTTAGTCCACATGTTTCTTTATACTCTTAAATAAAGCTACTTCCCTGAATATACTGAAGAACTTTCACTTTCTGTTTTGCAACTGCTTCTTTCTACACAAGTAACCTGACTGGCACAGTTAAAACAGATTAATTCTGCTGTAATAGCACTGATCAGCTTTCACATGTAGATTTCATCTGTTAGCAACACAACTGATACTGGTATTCAGGTTCCTAGCTCTGGTACTTTGAATTACATGTTTTGATAGTCCAAAATAGGTAATAGTAGGGAGCCATTTTAGATAGTCAGTGGAGAAAGTTATCCTGTAGCAGAACAATTTCAGCTACCTAATGGGATACTATTGACAAGAGGAACTAGACTTACCTTGGAGATGACAAAAGGCAACAGAAACAAGTTGCAACATGGGAAATCGTGGTTTGCTCTAAGGAAAACTTTTTACTAAGAGGATGGTTATAGCTTCTGAAAGATGTAGGAATTCCTTCCTTGGAGATATTTAAAGCTTGACCAGGACAAAGCGCTGAGCAACCTGATTTAGCAGGTCCTGCTCTAACTAGGAATTGAGGGATTGGACTGAAAGACTTCCAGAGGTTTCTTCAAACATAAATTACTCTCATCTTGGAGCACTGAAGTCTACTGCTTGAAACAGCCTGGAGCAGAGTAATGTCTTCATGCCTCAGTGTTAATAGCAATTTAGTGAATGAACTTGCTATCCCAGTTTTACAATGATCTACATTAGTGGTGCTCTGGTCTTGATTTTGCTCTTTAGTGATTGCTTATATCCCTTTCTCTACTCCATTCTCCCTTGTGTTTCCTGGGAACACAGGAAACACAATCTAGTTTTGGAAATCCAGGCCTTTCTGTGCTGTTGGCAGACTGAAACCACATTAGTTACATTTTGATTGACAGCCTTTTTGTGGCTTTGATGGCTAAGTTCCTTCCCTTGGACTGACCTTAGCCCACAATGAGAAACAGCAGTCTCCATCTAGCAGAAGGACTGGCATGCTGAATTGAAGATATCCCATGTTCCTGCCCATTTCCCCACTACTAGAATAAGAAACCTTGTAGGAGAGATGTACAGTAACTTAAGTAGCTGTTTCTCAATTTTATTGCAGGTTTTGGAGAAGGTGGATGTAGAGCAGAAAATGAGCATTCGATTCCTTCACTGATGGATGGAGAGCCTATTCCTTTCTACTCCAACTGTGTAATGAATAGAACTTCATTTTCTCCTTAGCACCATACCCCAGAGCATTGCTACTGGTGCATATACAATACATCTCCGACCCTTCCCTGATTTGTTCTACCGATGTGAACATTCCTGTGCAACAGGAACAAAGGGAAATGGCTGCCACACAACTTGGAAAAGGAGCTTTTTTAATGCTGTCCATCCTGGGTTTTTTGCCCTTTCTCTTGTCTCCTTCTGCACTACTGTTTCAGTAAAAATGTCTCTCCTTAAACACTGCTGTTTAATCTACAAACTGATTCTTCTGAGCTCTGAATCTGAGAATGGAAAAACAGGAACATGCCACAGAAGTGCCCTCTGAAACATTTCAGAGACAAGCATCTACTCAAATACTAGGTGCATTAATAAGTATTCACTTTTGCCACATTACAGCTGCCTTTTTTTAAAAAATATTTTTGCCCCTTTCCCATTTGGCTCTTTACATGCAGACTTGTTTCTTCAGTGCTTCTAAGTCTACCTTTTACTTGAGAACTTCTCAATTTCTATAGCTTCAATGTACAGCTAGCACAAATGCATGATGACAGCTAAGAGTACTTTAAAGTACTGTGAATAGATTTTGTTCTTTGTGGAATGAATTCACAGGGGCAATAGGAGAATCTAAGGTGGGGACAGGCTGAGGTATTCTCAAAAGGAATAGGAAATCTGCACTATGTCACTTGAACTGTTCTAGTAGCAGAGGCAGAAACTTGTTTCTTTCCTTTGCATAGCTTGCAGGCTTGACAGCTGGTGGACCATGAAGTGTCTCCAGATTGTTTAAGATCCCTCCCCTCATCAGGGTGGTTTTGTTCTGAAAGTGTAAATTTGTTTACTAGAGTACAAAATGCAAGAAAACCAGTCATGCTAAAATCTGGATTTCTAATTCTGTAACTGCTCCCTGGTAATAACGTCATGAAACATGAAATTATGAAACTGATTGCATAGGATTTTTCCCCAATTATAGTGGCTTGCATAATGAGTAATTATTTATATTTTCCAGTATGAAAGTCCTAGTCTGTTATATTTGTGTTTAGGTTGGTAGCTGTATTTAAGAAAGCTCTGGCATAAGAATACGTTTGGGAAAGATAATATTATCCCAGATATTTCAGAATGTATTTCTATACAAATCTCTTTGCAAGTGTAAGATGATTAATACTATTAATGTAATGCTGATATATTGAAGAGATCAGAATCCTTGAAGGTTCTATAGTAACAATTTTCTGTGGCTAGGCTGATAGATGATTTTGTGTAGTTCAGCTGGAGCATTCCACAATCTGGGAGATACTTCCAATAAAACCAAAAAATCCTGGGAGCTTATTTATTGAAGAATCGGTGTTATAACTGCTTCTCTGTCATGTGTTAATGTTTCTATAAATACTTACCAGTCTCAAAACTACTGTTAAATGTGCATTTCCTTCTTTCTAAGTTCCTTCAATCGTCACTTTCGTTGGAAGATGCAAGTCTCTGAAGGATTTTTGATTTGTTTTAAATAAAAGAATTCAAAAGTAAAATGTTTCACTTCATAGTTTTGATTAGTGCAGCACAGTTCCAGAAGGAAATGTAAATTAAAAAACTCTACTCTGTATAAGGAAGAAACATTATACTTTTATAACTGCCTCATGTAAAATAGGAATGTAACAGTGCTAATGAAAAGTAAAAATTGCTTGTAGGCTTTGTGATTTGCATAGAAGTAGGTGTTGCTGTCTTCTGACACTATAGTTGTAGCCTACAGTTGTGCCTTATTGTCACAGTGAGACTGGCTATTGTATTTATCAATCCATAAATAAACCTTCCACTGTATAAATAAACAAAACCAGACCATCCCTCAGCTTTTCCTGTAGGGCAACCAACTGTCCTTTAATTACTGGAAAAGGTAAATACCAGTCAGAATGGTGCAAGCAGGTCTTACAGATCGGTTTCTTATAACTGAGCTTGTTGTTAGAGTATTGATAATCCTTTATTCTGCTGGCAGAAACCAGTGCAAAACATGAGCTCCGAAGTGGACAGAAGAGGACAGGCAGGGCCCATTTGTGACATATGTTCCTACAAGCTCCCGCCTCAGATGTCAGATATTTATTTTTGCTAATGTCCTTGAAGGTGAACACAAACAGTCTAACAGATATACTGCAAAAAAAAAACCCCAAAAAAACCATAACACAATCAATCAAAGAACAACCAACCATCCTGCAATAAAAAAAAAAAAAAGCAACTATCAGAATTAGCCATTAGCAGAATAAATCACATGTAAATATCTTACTCCACATTCTGAAAGCTATATATATAACATATAGTTGAAAAGGTAGTAGACAGTAAGAGGAGTTTTAAAGACCTGAGATCTTAAATTTGTTAAATTTAACTAAGCTGTACAGATACAAGCAGATTTCCACAAAAGTAGTATTTTTAGCATACCTGGTTGTTTATAGAAGTATTTTGTCTTGAGAACAGGTTATCTTGAAGGTGAAAGTGTTAGCAGCTCAGAGGCAGAACTACTTAATATTACATCTTTGTCTTTTGAAAAAGTAGTAAAAGGGATAGGATTTTAAATACAGATGAACCATTCTCCAGTCTACTGAGGGACAGTGTATTTTCAAATCTGCAGCCAAGAGTTTATGTTGAGATTGGCTGGAGGCTTGACTGCAGAATTATGTGGTTGCAGCCGGTTACCAGAGTATTGTGAAGACTGTAAAAAGCAGAAATAGGTTTGATATCTAATCAGTATTGAAACCTGTAGGCCCCTTAGCTTGGCAACAACGGGGAAAAGAATCCAAATACAGGATTTGACTCATGAAGTGCAGGAGTAAAAATTATGTTCTGTAACTGTACAATGGAACACAAAAACCCTGCTTTTGGTTCTCTGAAATTGGAGCTTTGGTTATAAATAGAATGTGGGTATAACACTGAAGTTAGCAGAAGTGTTTCATTGCAGGCTGCTCTAAAACGTGACGCGGCAGAAAAGCGTTGTATTAAATGTTTGAACACACGTGTTAAGATTTCCAGCGAAATGGTTTGTAGTAATCTGGGATGAATCACGGTGAGACGGAGGTGTTTCTCCAGAGTTTTCTGAATGGGTACGTACTCCTCTTCACACTCTTCAATGCATCCACCCGTCAGCTTGAAGTGCAAAATTACCGCTGCTAAAAAAAAAAAAAAAAAAAAAAAAAAAAATTGCGGATGACAAAAAGCCGGCAGAATGACTGAAGGCAGAACGACTGAAGGCCGCCTTTCGGAGCAACCACGATGCTCGGTGAGCTCAGCAGGTGCTGTAGGGCCGCCGGAGCGGGACCCCACGTCCCCACGACCGGGTGGCGCGGGGCGGGTGCTCCAGCCCGGCCGCCCTTGCGGAGCGGCCCCTTTAAATCCTCGCGGAGGTCACCGGAGGACTCGCCCCGGGCCAGTCCCGCTCGCGCCGCCTGAGCCAATCCCTTCCCTGTGCCGTCCCCGGGGCCAATCAGAGCGCGCGGCCCTGGAGGCGGGAGGCCAGTCCCGTGATGGACGGCGCCGCTGGCCAATCGCCGCCAGAACCGGAGGGCTGATGCACGGGCACGGCACCCAATAGGCTCGCGGTCGAGTGGGCGGGCCCGGGCGCAGCGAGCCCCCGCCGGGTGGCCGGGGGAAGGAGGGGAAGATGGCGGAGTGAGGGGCGGAGGAGGCGGAGGGGCCGGGCCGGCCGCGGCCCCGCGGCCTCGGCCGCGCTCAGGTGAGTGCGGCGGGAGCAGCGGCCGTGTCCAGCCGGGAGCCCGGTGCCGGATCCCTGACTAGGCTGGGACCGAGCGCCCGCGCACCCGCCTCCCCGTCCCGCCCCGCGATTGGGCTGGGCCCGGGCTCGGGCTCGGGCTCGTTCCCGCGGCGCCGGGCCGGAGCAGCGGGAGCCGCTGGCCGCCCTCGCCGCGCCGGCCCCGAGCGAGGAGCGGGCCGGTGGCTGCGTGGGCCGACCGGAGCCGGAATCGGGCCGGTCCTACCCGCTCGCCGCCCTGAAAAGTCTGAGCAACTTCGGCGCTGGGGACGAGGGCGTCCTGCAGCTCGGGCGCCGCGCTGCAGCAGATGGCCGAGCGGAGAGCCTCTTCCCTGCACGGCCGTACCCCGCAGCCGACCGGGACAGCTGCGGCCGGCAGCCACAGCGAAAGGGAAACCGAAATGTATATTCTGAAATGAGGTTTCGCATGTCGGGCTACGAGCATAGCGCTGAATACAGCTACGCTGCTGTTATCGTTCTTATTCATGCGATGTGTGGGCTGGATGAATTCTGCTAATCTGAATGGTTATATCCTTTTATGATGTCTGTAGTGCTGACACAGGAGTGCACAAAAGGGATGGCTTCCTATTTGTTTGACAAAACCAGAAGGTACAGAAATCTACCCTACGAAAACAAGTTCTTTGGAAAGTAGAGAGATTATAGTGGAATTTGATTTAGCTGTATAAATTCATGTTGATAATAAGGTAAAAAGAATTTAAGATATCATGAAACACATAAACCTATTGCTAAATGCTCTATCTCTTCTTTCCGAGTTAGCACCATGAATATTAGATATGCCCTGAATTCTTCAAAATTGAGCATGGTGTTTTGTGCTAGAGAATGGTACTTAGTTTAAATTTGAAGAAAAAACAAATGGGTGGATCAATTCTTACTGAACGCAAAAGAATTAGTGTCACTAGCACGAGATTCCTTCTGTTCTAGATTTAATAACAGTTCTTAAAATCTCGAGTTCATCCTTGAATTATGACTGCATTTTCTATCTGCATGTCAGGTAAAAAAAACAAGTTGAAGTGGTTAAATGAAAAGCATAGTTTTAGATTTTGTAGAGACATGGTGTGTTAGCACACATGACCTAATAATGAAGCAGTTGTTTTTAACTGGTGAAATAACTCAAAAGAAGTATAAGCGTGTCTTATAATTAGTTCTGAATGCAGTAGCTACTTACGAGAAAAATTTCTTAAGGAACATTTTACTGATCTTCATGTGCAACTTTACTCATGTAGTAACAGTAACAGCAGCTTAGGAGCAACATAACATTAAGACACAGTATGCTGCTACTGATGAATGTTCCTGCTTATACATCTCTGTGTATGAACTTCTAAAATATGCTAGGGGATTTGTCTTTGGCATACTACTTAGAAAAATAATTCTGCTTTATATTATCATTAGAAGAATAATAAGCAATTAGCTTGCTTTTGTGTGAAGTTGTACACTACTTTAGCAGTAAGAAATTCATATGGATTAATATTTATTCTTAATTGCTTTCAATGCACAAAAGCTGTGAGAAGTAGTATCTTAAAAATAATATCAGAATTTCCTGTTGCACTGGTATGTGTCAAATCAGTATGCATTGGTTTACAATCTTGCCCACAGTGCCGTGAGTCTACAGTGTGAAAATCTGCATAAACAGGCTATGCATCTCATGGTGGTCACCTCTTATTCAGGGGTGTCAGAAGTCATAGGCCAGCCAAGGCTAAAAAGTCCTGACCAAGTTTGTGAAGAGTCTGGAGTGTCACTTGAGCACCTCCCACGTTCATTTTTAAAAACTAAAAAAGGAGCAGTGTTTGAAACCAGTCCTGACGTGCCAGAGGTTATGTCAGATGCAAAACCTGCACAGTCTTCAGGGGATTAAAAAAAAAGAAGAGGATTTTTCTAAAATAGAGTGTAGAGGAAGGGTTGATTCTTTGCCTGAACAGTATTCCTAGAACACATTCCTACAGTGTGTACATCATGGAGTTGAAAGCTTATCTTTAAGCAGTTTTCCCTGTTTTCTCTGCTGTGGTACAAAGTACTGTTAAAATATTGTACCAACAATGAAGTAGATGTGCATTGGAAACCTGGTAAAAGAGGAAAAGGGTTTTATTTAAAAATACAGAGTGAAACAAAAAATTAGGGAGGAGTGTCTGTAGTGCCTGAGATGTCTACAGCAGCCAAGCACCATAGCAGCATGCTATGGATCCAGCAGTCTGGCAGACTGTGTTGACAGGGGACATCAGCTGGCAGGTCCTTACTGTCTCCTGGCCTCTTCCTAGGCTGGCAACCATTCTAGGCTTCAGATGTGCCTTTGTGTACTCTTTTGGAGGGGACATTGCCCTGCATCTCTACATTCTCCTGATTCTGTGGATTATCAGTGTTGTCTCCAGATCTGGGTGTCTTCTGAAGTGTCAGGGGGATGTGACCTGCTAACCTGGGTGCTGCTAACATGAGCCCTTTAGAGCCCAGTTCCTGCTCAGTGTTACATTTGGTGCCTCCACACTCAGGCACTCCCGTTCTTTCTCCAGTCACACCAGTCTTAGAATTTCTTTTGCGAGTTCTCACCTTTGCCTTGTAGCTTGGATTTAGATGCCTAGTTCGAAGTTGCCTAGAAAGCAAAAAAAGCGTGAAGGCATCTTAATTTTTTTGCAGGACTGTAAGCTACTTTCTATTGTATTAGTGTTTATAATTTAAGCATTTGTCCACTTTCCAGGTTAAATTTGGCAGTTTTTAAGCCATAGGAAAACCCATAATGGACTTGTGATGTGTAAGGCTGATTTTGATTTCTGTATCTCCATAGGTCTCCACTATACTTCCAATTTTTTGTGTTTTTGTCTTTCTGTAGTAGCCTTTTTCTAGATCTTTCCTTCCCTTACTTCCTCATACTTCTCAGGCTCTAGGCAAGAGAAGAGAAATCATCTTCGACGTCCTTTTAATTCTGCTCATCTCCTGGAGGATTTGTGTCTGTGTAAGAGGCAAAGATAGTATTTTGGAAAGCCAGATCTGATGGATCTCAGTTTTTATTGTACCTTAAAACAGAGCATGAGGGGTGGAGTGAAAGTTGGTTGCATAGCTGTATACTATTATGTTAATATAGTCTCAAATTCCAGTGTGCTGATTATGTCAGAACACTGACTTTGTGGGGACTTTTTTGCCACCCTGGTGGATTGGTAATACAATATGTTAATATATATGAGAAGACAAATATTCCAGTTTTGATGGTAAATTTATTTGTGAGATGCTGCTTCATCTCTTTTTGACTTTGGAATTCCTGAAGTTACCAAATTTCTTTGATACAGGCGCTTATCTGAATGTGAGATTTAAAGTTCATGGAAACTAATCTTTAGTTATGGTAGAGCAAAAAAAATTAATGGGCAATAGGTCAAGACAATGAAAATAATAGGTTCTGAATTTCTAACGGAGGAGGAGTCATGTAGGCAGTGTTGAGCTTTCAGTTATTTCTTGCTCCGCATCAATTGATTGTGTGTTCAGTACAGTATGAAACAAGAAAAATAGCTTTTTTTTCTTTGTAATGTCCACTAGCTTTTATCTGAAGAGTTGGTGTCACCATCAGTCTCAGTGCCAGCTCATTTTCAATAACCATGATATATATACAGTTGCATTTGCAAGTTCTGTTGGACTATTGTGAACTCTGTGCTCATGTAATTGATGAAAGTCAGCTAGAGAGTGTATCAAGCAGAGTAGTTAAAAAACTGGGGCATTCAAAGTCAGTGAACTTGTTAAAATTAAAAAAAGTAGGTTAAAGCTAACTGAATTTCAGTGTTGGATGAACCATTCCTTCGCTTGAGTTGTTTTAAATGTCACCAGCTGCTTTCTTTTTTAATAAGACTTACTTTAGTGTTTAGTTAATTCATAGTCTTACTGAAAGAAGATCCAGCTTTTCAAAGATTGGATTGGTTTCTATTATGTGGTTTCTATAATGATAAGGCAGTTTGGGATTATTGCAAATTAATTACCAATCCTGGTAACTGTTCCTTTTCAAGTTAATTCTTTTGTGATGCATTTACTGTTGGTTCCTTAATATCTCAAAGTCACATAGTGCTTGGCTGGTTCTCAAGGGAGAATTTGAGTAGGAAGGGTCAGAACTGACAACATGGAAAGGAAGTAACCACTCTGAAATGGGGATTTTCTGAAGGTCCAGGTGCATGGTGCTTGTAGAAATGCTGTGTTTTGCAGGAGTGTGGAAGCTAATAATCCTTTGCTAAAGAATTTTGAATAATTTAGGTTGTCTGTGATGAGATAGTTCTGCTCACAGCAATCCATTATTCTTCCAGTTAGGTTGCCAGCTCAGCATCCTCCCTACAGTAGTTTGTTATTAATGTGAGTTTCTTGTCTTACTGGAGACTGAATATGTGTCCATCTCATTTCCCATGAAACTTAAATGTGTGCCTCCAATTATTTAAAGTTTGTGTGTCTTGGCTCTTCCACACTTGGGTCCAATTCTCTTGATTTAAACTAAAAGAGGAGGTATATCTGATAATTTGAAAAATAACATCAGCATGTTTTACGTAGGAAGTCTAAAAATTACTGGTTCATGGAAGATACAGCTAATCTTTTGTGTCTTGTGCAGATAATCATGTATGATCTGAGCTGCTTCCTAGATGCAAATTTAATTTTATTTATCTCTTTCTTTCTAAGCTCACTGAAGAGGATGTGGAATGATCAAAAATAATGGTGAGTACAATTGTGAGGTTATTTAGGTACTAAATGTAAGGTAATAAACTTATCAAGTTTGTTAGCTGATTTAGTTCCCTTTTCTCTGACCACAGAAATCTCTCATTGAGATTTTAATTTTTTGTAGTGTGCTTTCAGAGAACTGGAATGTTGCCACAGTGTCAGATTTCAGCTTGGGCTTCTCCTTAAATAAACATTGATTTGACCATTATATATTCTAACAGGAATAAATGCCTTGAAAGTTGTAAAAGCCCTGTCCTGTGATGTCATTTGTTCTGCTAAGACACATTGTAATTACTTGGAATATTTTTTTTTAAAGTGTTATTTATTACATGGTGGAATTGGAAGGATGATAAAATAACCAAATGTAAATTATCAAATAGAAAAAAAATACATTCAAAATTTCTAAGATTGCAATAAACTTCAGTAGTTTTGATATTTTTTTTTATTCCCAGTGAATGAAATAAAGATATTCTGATAGTTAAGGTGTTCAGCACAATTAGATTCTGTTCTGTATTCTATTCTGAGCTATATTCTGTTCTCAGCTCTGTCACAAACCTTTGGCTTGTTTTATTGCAGCTCTCCAGGTCTGTTTTTCCACATCTTCATAAGAATAAGACTTTCCCAATAGTCTTGAGTGTCGATGGTCAACCCAATGATCAGCTGAAATATTTGAGTGACTCAAGAGAGATATCAATAGTGACATGTACTATATTTCCATTTTCATGGTCTACTCACTGCTTCTAACATAGGAGCTGAAAATTGTCACTGGAAGTCTATTTCTGGACTTGATCAACAGAATGGTTAAGGTAATTAAAATAAATACAGACAGGGGAAAGAGAGGAAGAGGTTAGTTATTGTCATGTTCTTGTATATGAGAAAGATTTATTTTTCCTTTTTTTCCCTCTATTTTGCATCTCTTACTTTAGCACAAGAGCATGGTAATAAACATTCTGGCAATAGTGATGCAGGAGTGCACCCATGTTAACTTCCAACATAATGCAAAAATAACATGTCTTAACAGCTGCTGTAACTAGGTAGTACCAGGTGAGTATCACTGATGGAAGGCCAGGAGATCTGTGAAAAGAAGAGTTACTGAAATTTGTCCGTGCTGTGGATAAGTGGGGAGAAATGAGTAAAAGTAAGAAGCTAATGAATGTGATCTTAAAACATTTGTAAGTGCTCTTTTCCTCTCCAGCACTGACAATTTCATAATTAGTTGGGTGGTAGTTTATGATGTCTCTTTGAGCTGTGACCTGCTAGAGCAGAGTACAGACACTCTGTGCCATGTGCACTCTGCTGCTGACAGCCTCGTCGTTATCATCTCTGTGTTGGAGACACGGTTGAAGCCCACAGCTAATTAACAGTGCTGTATTTTTAGCTGCATTGCTTCTCACTAAGTGTATAGTTCAGCATTTCTGAAGTGTTTCTTTAGCCAGCTTATGGAAGTCTAAAGTTAGATACAGAGTCTTACAGACCAAGGGATTATTGCAGTTTGTGAAACCAGATAATTTTATCCATTAAGGTCAGGCTTTTAAAGTAGTGAACTGGTGGGCATTTTAACGTTGAATGTATTTTATTCTGATTCCTAAACTATCTTCCTTGTTTTTTTTTAATTTGGAATTCCAGACCCTCTCCTAAGAAGGTGATCCTCTTACTTCCTCAACGGCTATAAAATGTGGATATTTCTCTTCTAGCAAGCAAAACCCGCCCTTCATTTCCATGGAGCTGAATGAACAAAGATCTGTCCACTTCTGTTTTTATCGTCTCGCCAAACATTTGATTCTTCAGATGACTTCCCCCACAGAAGTAGCCCACTGTTTTATCAAAACTCAGAAGCACAGTAACAGAAATCAGCATTTGTTTTCTTGAAAATATGTCTTCTGTGCCAGCTCTTCATTCAGCTTTCTGCATTCTGTTTTAAAATGAAAAATACTTTGTAATCAGATGCAAGTGGAAGCTGGTGTTTTTCACTGATATTTCCTTCTTAATTTTAGGAAGGTTAAGTACTTTGGTGTGTCAAATTGGAATTCCTAGCAGATAAAGTGTCTGCATGCATTGCTGTGTCAGACTGACCTGATATTAAAAGTTGCAGCAGGAAAACCAGAATGTTTTCTGCTCTGACATGAGGAAGAAACTTACCAAACAACTAGGGGCATCTCATGCAGGTGTTTTCTAGTTCAGGTCCCAGGCTTGACTTTGTAGGTAGGTGTCAACTCACATAAAGCAGCTAATGTACAAGAACAAATACAGAATCACTTTGTCTGTACTGTGTATCCCAGGCTGTGATCAAAATGTATATTTGCATGTGTGAACCTCTGTAAGTGCAGGATATGAAGAGCTTTCACCTGAAGAAAAAATTACTCTACATCATTTCATTTTTGGCAAAGAAAGGAAGCTTTGAAGGCCTCTGGGGTGATGGGATAGTGACTAAGTTTGCATTAAATCATTCCCTTCCTCAGGCATTCCCTTAGCATCAAAAGGAACAAGACCATTCTACGGCAGAAGAGATGGGCAGAACATCTCTAATATAGAAATTAGCTTCTGATGGGATGGAAGAGACCAGAGCTGTAAGTTGCAGTGTATCCACCTGACTTCCTCGACACAGTTTCAGCTTTTCCTACTGCTGATGAAATCTTGCTTTTTGATTCTTTAATGACTGAGAACTGAGAGGACCTGTGTGTTTCCTCCATCTAGGTAGAAATAGGCCCAAGAAAATGGAATGTTAGCCACGTAAGAGGGATGAGTTGAGAGCAGAAATACTTATTACAGTCCATTTTCTGACTCTTCTTATTCCTTCCCAAACTAAGGCACAATCTGGTTGTTCTCATGTTTACACAAGATTCTTTGTCTATGTAATTCGTGATTATATAGGATATTTTCTGTCATTCTGAGATGGGGGTATATATTGTTTACATGCTCCCTGCTGTGGGATTATCTATAACAAGTAAGATTTTGGCAAAAAACTACCAGAACTGGGATATGTATTATATTCCACCTCAAACCTGAAACTCTTTTTAGTGCACCTTATTCCAAGTTTGTGATTTAGAAATGTGGCTTGCTAGCTTAAAATACGGGAGATACTAAACTGGTTGGGGAAGTGTTCTAGATTTCTTGTTATATTTTTCATTTCAGAAAACTGCTGGAGAGAGCCAGGCAGCCTGAAAATGGCTGAAAAAGCAAACAATTGAAATCCTTCTTAATTCTTGGTGATTGGTTGCCAGGGCAGCATTCTACTATCAAAAATGTGGTGATATTTTATGGGACCAAGTTCCATAGCAGAGTGAGAACAAGTGTTGATGTTGATCCTAATCCTCCAAGTAACGTCTGTGTTTAGACTTGTTTTGTAACAATAGGATTTAATGACAACTTTACCCATTTTGTGTTTCCATGAAGCAAAGGGCAGCCGCGTAAGCTTAAGAGTGGTGGGCAGGATGCTGCATGTCAAAGCAATGCCAACTTTAATGAGCAGAGAGGTGCTCTAAAAATGTGTGTAACATTGTGGTGAGCTGTGTGGTAAGAGTTAACATTGAGCTTGATGAGGCAACCACCAGCTTGGGCTGACTTTGCTGAATATGATCTGAGCTTTCTGGCATTGGATGCAACTAGAAAAGCACACTTCATTTTAGGGCCTCCTTACATTGAAGTCAATAGGATTTAATGGAGATGTCTGTAGAAGCAGGATCCATCTCTAAGTGATGGAAAATACTGTCAATATCATAGGATTACAGTGATTGGGAGGTATGTGGTATAACAAATGTCTGATTTTAGATCTGAGAATTTTCTGCTTCTGCCCATGCTTATCCCTCTGATGTTAGAGATAGCAGTTGTTTCTTACATAGCTTGATGACAGAATACTTGGGGGACAGGAAGGTAATTTTTTTTTCTGGAGACATTCACAAAAATTGCAAATTTGCCTGACTAGAGAGTTGATAATCTAAGCTTCTTAAAGTCAATATTTTGTAACCCGACATTGTAACAAAAAAGTAGAATTACTGATTTTTTTCTTAAGTCCTATTCATGACAGTATAGCAGCATTCGTTTTTGAGTTTAATTTTAGAACATCAGGATTTTATTAGGTTAAGGATCCGTGGCTTTCACAGAAGTGATACTCCAATAGTGCATGCCCAGAAGACCCCTATTGCTGTACCTTCCTGACCAGCACCTTTAAAGAGCTGCTGTGTTTGGAAATGCTGCTTAATCTGACTCACTTTTTCTTGCTCCGCTTTTTCTTTATGTTGGTTGGAAATCTTCCCATGTGAAAGATTACAAAAACAAGGGGCATGTGCAATAGCTCATATATATATATATACATATATATATTTTAATACTTGTGGACAAAATGATGTTACAAGTTGTTTGAAAACAACAAAATCACCAATGTCTTCCATTTTGAGATGTGTATAGTTCCATAAGCATTAGTGCTTTGTAGCAAACTGTAGTGCCATGTTAGGACCAGTGCATGAGCCTAGTAGTATTTTTACAATTTCTGAGTGACAAATTTATTAGTAAACAGTGATGATAATGTAATTAACACTAGAAAGGATACAATAGGAATGTCACAAACATGGTCTAAACATGCAGTATCCTCCCTTTGACAATGACAATGCTATCCTTAGAAATGGAACTCATTCACTTAATGGGCTTCATAGCATCATAGTTGACTTTTTGATATTTGTCTGTATGTCCAACTGCAGTAGTAAGCTAGAGTATGCAAGTATCCATAATTCTCATCCCTATTGGTGTGATTCTTTTATTTTAAATCTTTGTTGGTGTTTTCTTCTGTTTTCAATATTATTGAACCATTTATTACCCATTCTGTGATATACTCAGAAAAAATATGAATATGCTAAGGAGTTTGTGTGCATTCTGTACACATCTCTTACCTTCAGATAATTTACGAAGTCTGTTAAGTAATCTTGTCTTTTTTTCAGATCTGACTCTATGTTTTTTATAGCTAGTAAAACATTATCCTCATTGTGTGATAAGTTAATAGTTGCAAAATGTGATGTGCTAATTATGTGTAGAAGACTTTTCTCCATTATTGCAGGAATGGGGAACCTTTTTTGGCTGAAGTCCTCTTGAATCTTAAAATAATCTTGGTGGATCCTGCATTTACATACATCTTAATAAGAGAGAATAAGATAAAGTCCAAGTTGGAAAATGATGTTGCAGGCTGTATCTGTGCAGCAGGCTGTCTCTAGCCAATGGATCAGAGATTCCCCACCCCTGTATTATTGAGAATTCAAAATCCTGTATTTTAGGTAACTTCCAGTTTTTGCTTTCCAGCTCTAAGCTCAATTTTAATGATTTCTGTCTCTCCCTCTGCTTTTTTCAGAAGGAAAGTTTAGACCAGGGAAGGAAAATTGATTTAGCACTCAATGGGCAGCTTGGACTGGTCAAATAGGAAACTGGTATTATTCTTGAGATGGCATCCTCTGATTTCCTAGGAATAAGTCTTTTATTTGATGCCAGTGCTGCTCTTCACCCATTTCTCTCTTTCAGCTTAGAGAGGATACTGCATCTTTTTTTCCTGAGACCTGCCTGTAAATGGCCATTAGGGGGAGGGAGGGAATGGGTAGCTTGGTTTTGTAATTTTGGTATGCTATATCTTAAAGAAATTAATCAAGAAGCATATGCTTCCATGCAATTACAGTAATCCAGGCAGAGTTAATGTATGTAACAGGGAAAAAAAATCCCCAACAAAGCCAACCAAACAAACCTCTGCATCTGATAAATTTCTGAGAAAATTGGGCAGGTGGGCCATTTACAACAGAGCTCCGGGGGACCTGTGCTAGGAGTCAGGTTCAATTCTGAATGGACTTAGCTGTACCATTGAATAAAGTAGTTTAGTGCTTGGGAGAATAAATTGAAAAATACCTCTGAAACTGGAATGCAAAATAGCACAGTATGTAGGGGGAAGAATCCCTGATGCAAACAAAGCCATAAGATGATTTAATAAGAAAATAGAACTTTAGTAGCAATAACTGTTTTGCATGTGATAGTAAATAACTTGCATTAGCAAGACTGTACATTAGAGTAAGTGGGTAATAACCAAATAAGTTTGTGGCGCTCTGTGCTGCAGAGAGTTGTGTGAAGAGTCTTCCTGAGAAGAAGGGTGAATTCTTCTTATGTTCCTCTCATTGGAGGGAATTTGGCACTTGAATACTAAGTTACTGAACTTGATATATATATTAAAAAAAGAAAAATTAGCTTTGCCACATGTCGGAAGCACTGTCAGTGAGTGCTGGGGGAAGGGCAGACAGTTCTCTTTGAAAGGATAGCTGAAGTTTCCTTGTAATTTTTTTCTTTCTCTGTAGCATAGCACTTGCTCTGTTTCTCTGAGAAACGAAACTTTTCCAAATACTGTACTGTGAAGAGAACCTGATTCTAAAGTTAGAAGCTTTTGTGGTGGGAAGTACTTTTTGTTTTCTTTGCTTATAAAGACAAATCTGAGATAGTCTTTAAATTAAAAAAAAAATTAAAAACGTTAGAGAGCACTTGACACTCAAAACATTTGTACATGCCAAGCACAGCTGTAGAATTATAATTTCAGATTTGCTAAACACTGTTTCAGACCATAATTGATTTCAGTTGATGCCTGAAGTTTTGCAGAGGCAAGTACTGTGAGGCCTATTGTAACACAAAGGGTTATTGATCTTCACCTGTAGATCTGCATCCAAAAATTTACTCGCTATCAAAGAGCCACAGGAGTTCTAAACTGTTCCTAGTTGACATTTTTCAGTGTAGATAACCTCATCTATGCACACAGTGTGGCCCAACATATAGTAATGTATTCTGAACAGAATCAGAGGTTTAAATCAATCTGGCTGCATTTCTTCTGGGAAGCTGAAGTAATTTATACTGTAAGCTTCCAGCTTAATGGAAGCTTCTTGTGTTTTAAAGCATGGGGGTGAAGCGCTTTGGCTCTTCATAAATTGATAATGGAACTGTCAAGGCTGTGAGCATTTTTGCAGTATAAAGTAACAGGATAAGCATGAGAATGTCTAAATTAAGTGTTGGCTAACATGCTTATGAAAACTAATTGATATGAAAGATTGTAATCAGATTAAATTCCAACTATTGATTTTTTGATAAAATTGGAAGCTGGCCATAGGGGATCTTCATTTGATTGCTCTCTGATTACATTATAGAAATTTTGACATTATGTGGTCTGTGATCAGCAAGTACATTTGCATAATAATGAAATTATAATGAAAACAAAGTCACATTCATGCTTCAGAAGTATGAACTTTGTGGCTGAACAGAATTCTTCAGGGGTGTATCCACTCAGAAAAGGGGGGAGGAGATAAAGACTGATGTAGCCAGGCAAGCTGTCTACATACACTTCCCAGTTCAGACTTTTAATAATGATCTGAGTTCTGTGGGTTGCTACCTAGGAATTACTATTCACAGTAACAAAAGGAAACCCTTTGCCTTTCAGCTCTTGTACTATGACATGACTTTTGCTTCAACCTCCTTGATTTAACGGCTTCTAAACCTAAGTGGAAGTGTCAGGTGCTACCACACTTTGGTGTGGTATATCAAAGGTATAATGGCCAATATGGACATGACTACTTTAGCAGTACTAAACCCATATGGTATAAATATATTCTGTTTGTATATCCAGTAGTGCTGCTGCAGAATGTCTTGCCAGTACTTGTGTTGAGAATTGTAACTTCTGTTATTAAGGTTAGTTGTCAAATTTATGAGAAAACTAAACTCTTGCAAAGACTTCTTGATAGTGGGAAGAAATTGTACTGAGGCTGAGGATACTGACACTTTACATGAGGATTGTATTGTCAAGAACTGGCAGTCTGGGTTTTTTTGGGGGGCAGAAAAGGAAAAAATATTGAAGCTAGAACTATTTTTGATGTATAACAAATCTTAAGAATTACTGCTTCTTGCATCCTTAGAAAACTGGCTGGTCTTCCTCCAAAATTAATAATCCTGCTTGCTGGTCAGATGCAGAGCTGCAGAATGACAGTTCAAGTTAGATTCCACTGGATTTCTTTCATGGAACGATCAAGCATTTTGCCCCTGTAGCACTTTGATTGGCACACAAAAGCCAGCAGTTGAACAGGGTGTCTTGTTCAAAAGTGCAGAACATTAACCATGGATTCTGATGTCTGTTCCCTTTCAGTCTCTACACTTCCTCCTGCGTTTTAGAGAAAGTGTCAGTGTTCATGATGTCAGCAGAGCGTGTTTCTGTCTCTGAGCCTATGTACTGGGTTATAATATAGACAAATTCACAAGACTTTTACCCCATCTAAAGGTAAAGATAGAAAGTAACTTTCTGTTCAGTGTGTCCTATGTAAATCCTGTCTGCTTCTCTCCACTTCCCCTCCAAATGAGTGTGTTTGCAGGTCAAATAAAAGGCAGGTAGTTTGTAATGCCTCAGGCCTGAAGAACTGCATGGAGAAACTGAAGGAAAGCGGCACAGGCCCACAAACCAAATCTTAGAGCTAGTATTCTAATTATGCATGATTCAAAATGTCTAGTGTAATGTAGTTATTACCAGTAAATTGAGATATGCATTTATACATAATGAAGCAATAGGAATTAATATACCAATAGCTTGAACTTCCTGCTTTGATTCTCAAATTTCGGGTTTTTTTTAGAGAATGTGCTGCCTCTGTAGAGATGGGGGCAGAATGTATAGATAGGAACAGAAGCATGGCACCAAAACTGTAAATCAGGAACCAGGATCAGCAGAACTCGCCTTTATAACCTGTAGTCTGGTTCATATCACTGTCCTGAGCATGTAAAAAAACAGGGCATGAACTAAGCATGTTTAGAGGCGAGATGAGGTTTCTCACCTGCTGCAGCTGTAGCAAGGAAAAGGGTGCAGAGTTTCTTACATGGTGCAGGGGGAGCGACTGGTGGGAAAGTAAAAGACCAAACCCACAAAAAAATCACCCCAAAACCCAAGCCAACAAACAAGTAACAGAAACCACAGACTCAAGGGTAGTATTTGCCAGACAGTAGGTAATAAGCTGGAGTGTGGTGAGAGAAATTATTTGGAGAATACTGAAATTAATAAGCACAGTACATATTTTTCAGGTGTTGAATAGCTTTTTAAGAGACAGTATTTTCAGGTAACTCTAGCCCCATAGGCAGCTGTACTGAAGCATACTGGTACCAGCCAGCAATAATGGCATCTGCAGGAATGAACCTGAAAATACTTGTAATCTTGTATATTTTTTAAGTTCTTTAAAGAGATTTTTTAAAAAAGAAAATGAGATTTGATCACTGAAGGTCTTTATCTTCTGCAACAGAGGTTGCAATTTTCTTTCTTTATTTCACTTACTAGATAAAAGGGAATTTGGGCGCCATCTTTCTGTAAACTCTTACTGTGTTCTCTTGTAATTCAAGTCTCTTAGTGGATAATGCAGTCAGTTTCTGCTGGCAGTTTCAAAATAAGAGAATATGTGGTATAGCCTACATCACTAATACTTTTCCAAGTTTAAACTTGTAATTAAACATGTAGAATACTGGCTTGTAATTGCAGAATTCTATACTTGTAGCTTAGCTTAATTTTGTAAGTGGGCTTAACTTGTGCAGAACACTTCTCCATGTACAGAGGCTCAGTCCTCTCTTAAGTAGAAGGAAGTGTCTAGGAGGAAGAAAAGGGTGTCAAGTTAACTCCTGTTCATATTTCATAGCAAACCATTTATAAAGCGCTGTGTTTTGGGTTTAGAATGGGAACTCTGGTTTTACCCATGAATGCTTTTTAAATATGTAAGGATTGCCAAATGAAGATACAAATATTATAAGAGAAGATAACTATTCCATGGTATCACAAATTAGACTGAATTAAAGTCTTTGAGCCAACTTCTTCAAGAAACAAGAAAATTTCTAAGACAAATTAGCCCAGTGGTTAACCATGGTAATTTTTAATTCTTTGGAACACTATGCATGGTTTTAAAGTCTGTTAAATATTGTAATGAGTAAGCCATTGTATCCTTCGTATTTCCCTTCAGTATGACCTGGGAATAAGCTACTGCAGGATGTCAGTGAAGTTGTTTTCCTTTTAAGAAATTTAACAGCAAAGGAGAAGTATTAGGTATAAATTCCTAAAAATTACCTTAGTACTTAGTAGGTTAAAGAATACTTATACTGAACTTCTGATAGCATTCTTGCATGGATTAGTGGAGGGAATTATTGGTGTGACTACAAACTATGTACTCCCATTGTACATGTTGTACATGGTAACAGTGAAAGAATGTCTCCCTGCAAATTCTGATTTTTTCCAAAAGGCAGCTTGCTTTTATATCTATGCATCTTTGAGGATTCCAAGATAAGATTTTATTCTTTTGACACTGTAAAGAGGAACTGTTTAAAAATGAACCTGGAAACTCTGCACCTGTATACAAACTTTTTTAGCAATAAAGCAGCACAGGCTGAGAATGCACTAAAACTGGATGTGTCATCTGTTCAGAAGACAAATCAAATTACTGTACATTCCACTCCACTTCTGAGGTGTACTTGCTTTAGCTTTGTTGAAACTTAACAACCCGAGCTGAATTCCTATATGCTGGATATCTGCTTTGGGGCCAGCTGTCCCAGACTTCAGGCACAAGAGCTTCTGACTTAAACAGCAGCTGAACAAAAATTGTTATTCCACTCATTCTAAGATGCATGACTTCAATCCCTTCAAGAGTTGTTTTAGAGGATAGCAGAAACCCTCTGCTTCTTGTATTGATTATCTAAAAGTAACAAGGCCCCTCAGAAGACTGTTTTATAGATGTATTGTTTGTTTTGCTGACTACACTTCCAAAACATTTCTTCTGTGGTTGGTGGAGGTCTTCCCAGTTTCAAAGATTACAGAAATGCAGTTTAAAAATTTACCAGCTATTCTTCTTCATTATTTATTTAAATCCATGCTACATAATATAATTTGTGGAACCAATACTTTCATACTTCATGACAAATGAGGACCCCAGCAAGATAAAGTGATGGGTTTTTTCCTGCAAAATAATCAAAGAAGTAAGCCAATGACTCACATAATATTGGCGGTGGTTTGGACTATATGAATATCTGAGTTTCAGCTTTTATTTATGAAGTTCCTTCTTCACAACTTTAAATATAGTACAAAAAAGTAACTGACAGCTTTCTTTTAGGGATCAACACTAATGAAGCAAAACAGTTTAGCTTTATTCATAGTATAAACATAAAATAGCAAGAAACAGTCTCAATGCAGAAACTGGAATGAAAGGGCAAAACAAGTAGTGCCAATCTCAATCACATTTCTTAAACTCGTGCAACAACAACAGAAGCACTAAGGAAGTACTACAAAGGTGGTATTAGAATTTGTGAGAGTCCCTCCTCTCCTTGCAGAACGACTGTCGTTTTGGTCATGACAAGGAACTGAGACCATACAGAACTCCCAAAAAGAAAGCAGTACAGTGAGCATTAGTAGGAGCCTAAGTATGAGTTGCCCACCTAAAACCTCCGAGGTGCCTTACAGTGAGTTTTGTCCCCTCTGCTCCAAGGCCATAATGAGTTATTTTACAAATAAGACAAAATACAGAACTGGCAGCAGCAGCAATGAGGTCTGCAACCTGCTGGTCATATATATGGAAGCAGAAGGCAATTTGCATCACTGGAATTAAGCTGATCAAGTAAATAGAATCCTCTCTAGACTACTACAGGCAACTATTAAACTTTCCATAAAGTTCATTATCCCTTTAGACAGCAAAAGGGAGAGGAAAAGGCACCTTAATCTTCCAAAAAAAGAATAAGGGATATTTTGTCCCAGTAACAAAGGGTAAGTGCTTTCTTTTCTGTAAAAATATTTCCTAAGTGTTTGGAAATAAGCAGAACCAATTTTCAACAGAGATGGATGCCAATGAGCCATGAATAGGTATTTTCTATGAAACATCCTAACTGGCCAATTGAAGGCAACAGGCCAGTCATAACTTCAGGAAAGCAGTGCTTCCACAGTTGTGCAGAAGAATGTCCCTTGGTTTCATAGTTAACGTTCCAGAAAGAAATGCTCAAATCTGTTCAAGGCAGTTGCTCACAGCCTTAGCTGGCAGAATTTGACTCAGTCCTGTTACTGGGGCTGACTTGGCTGGCACGTGGGTTGCCCTTTACCTGAAATTCAAAACCTTGTGTTCTTCCTCCATGATGCCATCCAGACTCATGCTCTAGGAACACTGCAGCATCTGTGATGTGCTCGTCTGCTGCTTTTGCAGGCAACACACACTAGCAAATCTCGAAACTATTCAGGAGTCCATTTAGCAGCGGCTCACATATCAGTTGTAGCTAATGAGCACTTGACCAAAAACTAGCTGCCATTAAAACCAAGGCTGCCATTAACAATGTGTCTATTAAATGGTGGGACAAGAGCTCTAGGTCTCTAAGAATGTTCAGTTTGTAATGCTTGCTCTTGAATATCACCACCTTGCCAAGTATGTTTTGCATAGCTCCAGAAACCTGACTTCAGTATTTCAAAGGCTAGTTTTCACCCTGAAGTCACTATAAAACCAAAGTCACATTTACACAGCTTCAGAGAGTAACATGCTGCATGGGTGAACTATTCAGTCTTCCAAGCATAATTTTGGTATGTCAGATTCTCAGGTGTTCCTGAAGGGATGCACTTCATCGTCAGTTCGTTCCACACACAGATAAAGTAACAGATTAATTACTCTGGTGCAATATTTCTTTGTAATGACCAAACTCAGCAGAGATGCAGAAACAACTCCAACAGTTCTTGAAAATGGGTATCTGTTAGCATTAACTCTTGCATATCCTAATAGTAGGTCATGTGGATCTGTTGAAGAGTTCTGCCATTCTTTTTACATAATTATTTTGTTATTTTATCCAGCTGCTCTGCTACTAATTCTATGCGAGCATTCAAGGCCACAAGCTTTCCTTTCACCTAGGAAAAAAGAGAAGAGTATTAAAATTAGCAAAAAAAGTCCTAACACTGGACCTTTGAATGACCTGCACCCCACTTTTAAGTGGCTAAAGAGCAGCTCATTTTCAAGATGGGAAAGTATAGAGGGGCTTGATCTCTATATTGCATGTTTAGTACTGACAAAACCAGCACCCAGATCAGAAGGCTGCACTACAAACTAGAGATGGATCAATGTGTGCCAGTATCAGTCCTTCCAGGGGCATAATGGAAGATGGAGTTGCTGCAGTTTTACTATGATGAACCTGATCTTTTCTAGTTAACTCAAGTTTTCACACAGCCAGAAACCTTCTATGACAATATGTAGACAAACGGTTTTATCATTAGCTTAGGAATGCATGTGGACATTATGTCTCAAAAAGCAAAGGCCAGATGCTTGAGCTTGTTCTAGTCAACAAGCAAAGTCTCTACAGTCACATGATTTGTGTTTGCAATGAAGTGCTGTCATATTTTTACTTCAGTCATCTACTATTACTAAATCATGTCTCAACTTCAGAAGTTTTACCTGGATAAGATTTTTGTATCTTAGCCTCACTTGACCTGTAAAAACACTTTGATCTTATAGAAACTGGAAGAGGACAAAACTAAAGAAATGTAAAAGGTCCATTACAAGAGAAACTAAAATCCAAACTGAAACCCCAAAAAAAAGTAATGAACAAATTATCACATAAATACTGGATATGCTGGCTGTTTCCTACACACAATAACTTTATTTGAGCTAAGGCACAGGCAATTAACTAACATAACTAGTCAAGTTACAGATAAGAACATCCAATTTGAACACCAAAACAGGAGGGAGGTCCTAGAGTTCTCTCTGAAACAGCAAATACTGCCATGCTGTTTTGAGCTTGCTCAGACATAAAAATATAACTCTTTAAAAATCCCTTTCATATTAAAAAATTCTAGTTTTAAATTCCTCAACAATGACAACACAAGTCGTAATGCTTAGGCCAAGTCTGTATAAATTATTTTTGGGGTTTTTTTCTTTGCAAGGTATAGAGATAAAAGGATAACAAACTTTTGCCAAAATTTAGCTAGAACTAGGTATGTTCTGCAGTTTAGGGTTCTTAGAAAATGTTCCATGTCTCATGCATTGAGTCAGTTATTGTCATATAAGGCAGCATTTTCTCAGTCCTAGGCACTTAAAACCCCCACACTTGTGTCATTGTTTTTGAATTAATGTCCAAAATTACCAGCATTTAAAAAGTATTTTCCATTATTGTGGAAATCTTACTTTCTGCATATTTTCCTTTAAGGTCACAGCTGGAAAATTGACCTTAGAAGCTTCTATAATCATTTGATTTTTTAAGAGATAACTGGAAAACAAAACGGGAAAGGGAAAAAAACACAGTTAAAAAACCTGTAGTTGCACTATTTAGACAGATGATTTAAGATTATTTTAAATCAGATACAAGGTTGTTGCCAAAAGTAATAATTATGAAAATATTCAAAACATAGCAATGGTTTTACTTTGGAATCAAGATCTTCTCATCAAAGTAATTTACAGCTTCTGTAGTCAAGTTCTCAACCCATCAAATAATCACTTTGATACTTTACGTTAGCTAAATGAATCTGGAACTGAAGAGATTTCAGCATTGCATACAACGAAGTATGAAGTCTTACATTGCACAAGGACACTCAAGAGGTGCAAGGAAATCAAAGGGATTCACATCAACACAATTTAGTCATCAAGAATATTAATATCCCACACCAATGTGCTCAGAGAAAAGTCAAACCACTTTTGTTAGCTGTAGGCTAGTTGTACAGTGACTTGCAACTACCTGTGAAGTCACTGACCATGGAATGCAGTGTACTCACCACATGATCCTGTCCTTGAAGAAACAGAACAAATCCCGGAGATACGCCAGTTCACTGCCAGTAGAATAAAGAATGAAGCCCACAGCCGAGCCACAAGACCGACAGAATAATAAATAATAAGTACTAAAAGGAGAAAGGAAAGTGTTCTTAAAACAGAAGCTTTTGAAACCACAGATGCTGCATATTTGTCAGAGAGTATAAAATCTTCAGTTCCATTGGGGCAAAATCCAAGGCATAATAACGCATCCTCCTCAGAAAAGTAATATGTACAAAGTAATATGACCATAAGAAATTGGGCATGTTGTGAAAGAAGCAATCTCTCTAATAAGTGAAGTTGCTGTTAAGGAAGAAAATGTACATCTTATTATCACAGAATGATTTAGATATTCTACTCAAACATAATTTAAATAATAAAATAATGCATGCACCAGTTGAAAATTCTAATAAAATAGATCATTACCCCATGCAGAGAGAGGGGCAAGGAACAAAGTCAAAAAATTAGCAAGTCTTATATTGAAGAAGTTCCCAGTTCTGACAGTTTGTAAAACAGCTTTTAAAAATCATTTAAACAAGCTACTGGTTCTGTAAGCCCCTAGATGACATTTTACATTCTTCCCGTTAGACTGAGTTACCAAACCTTGCAAGAGATAGGTTCCTGAATGGGGCAGTACAAGTTTTTATTTTCAGTATTAAGAAAAGCCAACCAACCAATAGCCACCCCTCCCCCCAAAACCAAACCAACCAAAAACCCACCAAACCAAACAAAACCCAGAGATGTTTTAAGCAAGAGACCTTTGAGGGAAGAGAAGAAAGAAACCTACAAGTTAAGCTGTATTCTACTGCATTGCTCGAATGTTTCTCTCTCCACCTACAGAGGTTATAGCAGCTAAAGTCTTGATTTCAAATGAAAACTACATCCCTACAAAAAGTTTCTCCATCCGAGGTGTGAAACAGGCACAGAAGTCACTTGGGAGTGACTTGCCAAGCCCCTGAGAGCCCCCGCGCACAGGCCGGAGGAGCTGCCGGAGGAGCTGCCGGCTTTGGGCGCACGATTCACCGCGGCGGCCACTCGGGCAGGTCCGCTGCCGGAACTACGGAGCTACGCACCATCCCAGGAGGGTTCCCTCGAGGCCGACCGACAGCGAGTCTTCCCAGATCACATCATTGGTGACTCCTGAGAGAAAGAGAGACGCGCTGCAGCAGAGAGCCCCCAGACCAAGCCCCGCTGCCCGCCCCGAGGTCCGCGCGGGGCAGCGGCGCGTCCTCAGCACCCGCCGGCCCGGCGAGGCACTGACTGAAGCAGATGAGGATGCTAAGCCCCGGCGGCTCCTGCCCGCACAGCTGCAGCGAGTCTCCCAGCACTGTCCAGCAGCCGCGGCAGTGGAACACGCCGCACTCCTCCGGCAGCGCACCCTGCCGCCGCGGCGGCGACGCCGGCATCGCGGCCGGCGGCGGGGAAGACGACGACGACGACGACGACGACGGCGGCGGCGGCGGCGGCAGGGGCGGCGGCCGGGGCACCGACAGCGAGACGCTGGCGGTAGAGGCAGGGGCGGTCGCCCGCTCCAGCACAATGGCCCCGATGGTCTGCGGGTCCTGGAACAGCTGTCGCAGCTGCTGCCGCACCGCCATCTCCTCCCGCCTCGCGTTCGGGCGCGGGGCCCGCCCCCGAGCATCATGATTGGAGCGCGGTTCGCACCTCTGTATTGTCATTGGTCAGAAGGAGCGTCAATCCTCGCCGCCCGCGGCTATCAGGCAGCGGGCCGCCCCGCGCGCGCCTTTCCTTGCCGGGAACGCCTCATCGCGCTTGAAAACAAGCACGCGCGGCGGACCGCGCCGCCATTGGCGGCTCCCGCGCTCCGCCCCTTTAGGCCACGCCCCTCCTTTGGCCCAGCCAATGGGCTGGCGTAGCGGGCCAGTTCGAACGGCGGGGGCGGCGCGAGCCGTGTCGGTTGGCGCGCGGCGGGCAGGCCGGTCGGAGCTGCTGTCATGGCGCTCGCTTCGCTGCAGCCCCTGGAGGCGCTGAAATACGCCGAGCTCCAGCGCATCGCCAAGGCCGCCGGGCTGAGGGCCAACCTGCGGGTGAGGCGGCGGCGGCGGCGGCTGCGAGGCAGCGCTGCCCACGAAGCTCCGGGTTCTGGGGTGCCCCCGTGCCCGGTAGCGTGACGCGTCCCCAGTCTCGCAGGGCGCACCTCCCGGGTCTAGAGCGGCGCTGGCAGCGGCACCGCCCGCGCGGTGCGGGGCTGGGGCGCCCCGGGGGCTGTGCTGCCGGCCGGGAGGCGGGCAAGCACTCGGGGAGGGGGAGAGCGGGGCTCCGGGGTCCCCCGGGCATCGAGAAGGGGAGGCTGCTCCCTTCTCTGCTGGCCCGGCTGTTCCCCACGCCGGTGACCCCGCGCTGTCCGCCCCCAGTGCGGATAGTTGTGTTTGGTTGGTTTGGTTTTTTTTTTCCCCTTATAACTCGGAGTGGGAGGAACAGTGACAAGGGAGTACCTTAGGGGAGGAGATGTGTTTGGCGGTCGCGGTTAAGACGTGAGAAGTGTAAGGATGCCCCAGGCTCCTGCCTGGAGCTACAGGTGCATGTGAGGCACGGCCAGGCTCCTCCTGCAGCAATGGCAGAGCTCGTAAAGCCTTAAAAGAAGGATCCACGGTTTGGGTGGACAAGGCAGCTCCCTGTCCTCACAGACAAAGAGTTTTTCTGGAAATGTTAGTTTTGGGGTACTTTGATTGTTTTTGTGCTGACCTTTCCACTTAGGTGTTTAAGAGTCTTTCATAGCCTGGCTTATCAATGGCGTGTTTTCATTGTTTTTTTGTTACTATTACTATTGAATGCATGCCAGGGATGAAAAGAATGCCTTGCATGTAGCACGGGCAAGACAGAAGCAATTGCAGGAATTTGACACAATTTTAATTCAAGTTCAGCTGCGCTGTGGGGCTTAAAACAGTTTGTCTCCTTCCTTGAACAATTAACCTCCTGGAAAATAGAGCAGGAGAAACCTAGGCGAGGCAAATTGCCTTTGTGCCTCGGTGGAGAGTATCTACATGTTTATCTGTGGCCTTAGGCACTTTCTCTAATTGACTGACTCCAACGAGTCCTAGCTATGCCTTGTTCTGTTGGATTCAGGAGATGTTCTGCTGGTTTGTTGGATCACTATATAGGATGCGGGTTGTACCTACACAGCTCTTCAGTGACTCAATTAACTGTTTGGTTCATGCGTTTTGATTTCTCTTCAGGCAGACAAATTACTGGAATCATTGAAGCAACACTTTGAAAGGACAAAAGAAGAAAGTGAAAAAATGGTAACATAATAAATCAGACGTTGCTTTTAAGAAATGAAAACCTTAATTTGTAACTCGTAGAGCAGAGCATATTCTGAAGGTTGATTTTGACCACAACTTGAACTGTAATAGAAATACCTTCTTCTTCTTAGTGCCCTTAGGTTAAAGTACTTACATACTGATAGAAATAGATATGCTAATGTTAGTTTTCAAGTGGCCTCTATGACTTAAATCTGATTTCTTTTCAGCTGCCAAAATTAATAATATTTTTCAGCATCAGTACAAACCTGTTCTCTGTGAACAATGACATATAATTTCCACTGAACAAACCTTAATTCTTGCTTGTTTGGCTCCAGACACTATTCTATACCAAATATAAAAATATTTTATTAATTTTGCATGCCTAAATGAAGGGGGCTAGATACTAATTGGAAAGCATTTTGCATCTACGACAATTTACTTCCAATTATAATGAAAGCAATACAGTTGTGCTACTTCCTTTATTTGTCTCTTAGTGTGTTGTTTTCTTAACTTTTTTAACGTTTTCTGTAAGCTGAATTATTTTGTTGAGTGTGTCAATATTTTTGATTAGAGTAATTTGGTATCTGCTTTTTCTGAAATATTTCTGCCTTTAAGTGCATCCCTTAAAAATCTTTAAAGATTTGAGGAACTGGTGTAAACCTTGTCAGCTTTTTAAAAATTTTCACAAGCAGGAAAGGAGCCCTGTTTTTACTGGTGAACAGTATTCCACAAATGTACAAATATGGGAGGGTCACGGCATCATGCAAGTTAGACTTCAAATAAAAAATATTAGGCTTTTATAGTCTTATTAAAATGAAATATGATAAACCAATCATTTGAATTGTATTTAAAGTCTCCAAACAATGAGCTTTTATGCTTAGGGGAACCTGGATAGTGCCAGTTTCTTGATTAGTATACTGCTACATGGCATGCTACTGTTTATCCTCTGTGTAAAATACTTTTTTAAATAATAAACTTGAAACTGTCCCTGGAGTATTTAATTCGTATTTGTGTCGGATATCTTCCAGTTATAGTCTTTTTCTGCTACAGGGTCCTGTAAAGAGTGCACCTTCTTCCATTAAGTCAGATGAACTAAGCAATCAGGAGGAAATTATGTCTGATTCAGTGTGTTTTATTACAAAAAGACGTGGTAAGGACCGAAAAAAGAGGAACTCTCATGAGGAAACTAATAGCAGTGAAGAAAACCCAGTGCTTTCTGATGAGAAACAGGTGATTTGCTTTGCATGCTTTTGTGTGTTGTCCTCCCTTCCTCTGAGCATAATTTAAGCACACTTGATTTCTTTTCAATCACCATTTATAGATGGTATGTGTTTATATATGCGTGTTTGTGTGTATATAGATGTGTACAAAAATTGATACGCAAGCATTCTGGTACTGGTCTTTTGTATTTTGTAGTACTGACTTTTGTCTATTTATGTGCTATCCCATAATAAACAGACATTACTCGGTAGTCATTGCTTCAAGAAAATAAATTCCTCTAAGAAATATACAATTCCAAACACTTTATCTGAGTGTAAGACTGCTTTCACTAGTTCATTGTAATCTGAATCTTAGACTAGTTTCAGAATTTATCTAAAATAAGGCTGTTCTTGCTTTTTCGATACAGAAAAAAATATCTGAAGTTGCACCATTGTCTAAACCTCATAACTTTTTTTATTGTGAGGGTTGTGTGACTTAGGGAGAGAAAGTTACAAGGTGAGATAGAGGTTGAATTTTTTTTTAATTACAAGGAGTAGGTAAATTAAGAACTGTCTGAAAGACTTTAACTGAGGTAGAGGAGGGAAATGAGAAAATGAGGAGTGTTAGAGAATTGTACAGTATGCAAAAATACAACAGTAAAAATTTAATCTTACTTGCAAATAATTAACTTTAATCCATAAAGGCAATTTTATACTAAAATGTGAAAGCTATGCAGATCAAAGCTTTCTAATATATCTGAGTTTGTGAAGTAACAGGGTAAGTATTTCACAGGTTAATTCAGTTTGGACTTCAAAAAATCTCTTGCTCAGCCTCCCAATCAAAGCTGTTTCAGCCATGAGGTTAGAGTCCAGTGCTTTAGGCTTTGTCCAGTCTGATGCTGCAAAGCCTTGAGGATGAAGGTTGTGCACCTCTCTGGCCAATCTGTTCCACTGAGTCTCTGTTCTCAGAACAACAACCTTTCTTTATATCCAGTTGGAACAAACTGGTTAAACAAAGTATGTTTAAATTGCAGATGCATTCTGAAACGAAAGAAAATGAAGTGCCTCAGGGTGAGCACAAAAAGGGAAAAAAGGTATCACAAAACAAAATCCAAATAACTGAAGAGAGAGCTATTGAGAATCCGGGGATGGATGCTGGACAGAAGAAACAAACAGAGAAAACTTCTACTAAAGGCAGGGGAGGACAACGTAAGTAGAAAATTGGATAAAAGTAACTTTGATTTGTGCTACTTAGAATAGCCAAAAAATGGTTTTATTGTGGCACATCTGTTGATCAGTACCTTGTTTTGGGGATACCAGAAGAAAATTAGTCTGGTTTGAGTTTATATAACTTGTTTAACATTGTAGTACAATTCCACAAATTCTGCAGTGTAAGAATTTTGCTGACTTTGACTTCAGAACTCTTGTTTTTAGTGAAAGAGTTCTCAGAGATCTGAGTGTATTTGAGTTTTACACTTCCAAAAGGATCAGTGCCATTTGGAATATCTTTGAGGTGTTGTTTGGCCTCTAAGAGGTGGCAAGAAAGGGAGGAGTTGCTTCCTTATTGTTCATTTATCTTTTTCTACAGGTGAACACTTTTATATTTTGCTTTTCAGGAGTAAAATTAGCAGAAAACATAGAATCATTTATGATTTGTTTGAGCTACCTAAGAGTATTTGAATGTGTTCCACTGGATCACTTTTTCCATCTGGTGGTGTTTTTTGTCCTTCAAACACGATGCCACTGAAAACATGAGTTAATTTATCCCCCTTTGTGTATGCAGCTGACATGAAGAAATGAATTTGTCTATCTAATCTGATCATTTCATGATATTGAGTGGTCTGTCAATTAAGATACACTTCTGCATTTGCTCTGTTAGGCTCAGTGTATGTAGTCTATAAGTTTATTATGGATATTCTCGTTGTTCCATAGAATTTACGAGGACAATCTTATGGGAGACCACCAATGATTTTGAACTAACTCAAAAATCTCTGTTTTTCTATGAAGGTTGTTTTTAAAAACAAAAGCAATAGGTTATGTGGGGGATGCTTGGGGGCATCACTCATCCTGACAGTTGCTACAGTGCTCATCTCTTCCTATAGCTGTAGTAGCAGGTGTCTGCATTTAATATCAACAAATTGATTTTTTTGACTGCATGCCATTATTTGTTTCCA